TTATAAAGTTTATTTAACAGTTTAAAAAATTCGAAATTGAAATGGATAGTCGAGGGAACATACTGTATTAATGTACTCTACTGCATATAATTTGTGAACATTTACATGATTTGTACACTTTGAACTCCCTTTCAGGCTGAAAGGGACTGAAAAAAGTCATACCGAGAGATTCTTTTAATTCCTCTCTATATATTCTATTCTCTATGACTAAAGGGTATCGTTGTGAATCGTGAATGCATCTCGTTAATGAAGCCATGAACACCAAACAGGATTGATTTTGCTATTTTTATAAGTCGAAATTTATTTTAAAGATCAAATACATTATACGAGTAAACATGGGCTTAGAACTTTTGTGCTGGATACTTATAAACTGGTCGCTTGATATCGATATCTACTGGAGGCACTTTTAATTTGAAATTTCATTGCTTATCCTTTCATATCAGTTATTCCTCCCTAGATCAAAACGCCTTTGACTGGGTGCTTTTACCATGCGTGATATTTAATACAAATAAAATTAATCTGCTGATTAAACAAAAGATAAAATTAATCTGCAGATTAAACAAAAGATAAAATTAACCTGCAGATTAAACGAAAGATCAAGATCAAGGATTCACAATTCAATACAATAGTTCCCAGGTCTGTTTACCAAAGCTGCACTTATTCAAGAATATGTATGAAGCCTCCGTATGAAGTCAAAAGACTGTAATCTCATGCTAAATAATGCAGAATAAAATTGAATCAATTCAAATTATAAAGATTTTCTGATCCTTATATATTTAAAAACCGAATTCTGTTTAAACTATAAAAATGGCATTTCAAATACCTCTAGTTTGAAATACCAAAGTTTTACACCATTGCAGGTTGAAAGGATTTAGGTTTTATGAAATTTGTTAGTTTTTAAAAAAACTCAATTCCTTTGAATTCAGAATTAATGGCGTAATATTTACGGGAGATGAAAAAGCTGGAAAATTGAGTCTTTTACACAAACTGAAATTTTCTAATCAATATTTACTTACAACCTAATGGTGTAATTATTTGATATTTTGAATAATTGAATTATTTATAATCTGAAATATCACAGATCTATGATCTTGGGTTTGCAAATATAAAGGGATTAGAAAATGGGTAATGGCCCGGTATTTCAAGAATTCGTACCAGATTCGCAACCTTTATTTTATCAATAATATTATCAGTTTGCTTGCTTGAATACTGTGTCATTCAGATAATTTTTCTCACACAGTTTATTCTGATAATTTCTTTAACATGTTTCTTAAACAGAAATGCGCTAGCCGAGCAAGGCATAATTTTAACTAACCTATTCAAAAATAAACCTGAGGCCGAATTTAAAGAATTTGAGCGGCGGCTTAAATTTAAACCGAGGCTAAAATATAGTTGGTTCCACTTAAAATCGTGTTCGTTGTTTCAAGATTTAAGCCGGCGCTCAATTGAAACCGGTTTTTGGCAGATTTAAGACGCGGCTCAAATTCATTAAATTCGGACACTGGATATCTAATTCTTACTTGACCAGACAGAAGTTTAAGGGTACCGTTGAGAATGCAACTCTATTAAATTAGGGTCAGTTGAAATTAGGCCTTCAAGTTTTTCTTCATTTTTGAAAATTAGAAGTTATGATTAATCTTTTTACACTTTACATTCTTTCTTGAACACTGAACACTCTTTTAAATTAATGAACAAATATTTCAGTATTCAGAGAGAGTTGCATTGAACTTAATCCTTCAGGGAAACTAAAATTAAAATTAAATTTTAAATATTTAATCTTATTTGGAATTTTTTACAATACATTTTTCGTCAATCATTATCTGTAGTGATTTCTTGAGTCAATCATTATCTGTAGTGATTTCTTGAGTCCAACTATTTTTATATATTTACCAGCAGAGATAGGGTTAAAGATGGAAAAAATTTGAAAATTTTATTTTGGTTTTCAGGAAAATACTTTTATACTTCACCTTTTCAATCTCAGTCTAAATGATCAAGGAGCGTTTAGGTAAACTTATTTAAAACAATTCTGAGGAAGGAACCTTTGAATCGTTAATCCAAATTTAGAAATCACTTTTTTATTTTGATCTCCGATCAAAAGATAAGCTAAACTTTGTTTAAAAAATTCAAATCAAGGTTTTGTTTTATCGAACAAAATTTTCTACCTCTGAGGCCGACTTTAAAGAATTTGAGCGGCGGCTTAAATTTAAGCTGCTGCTCAAGTATAGTCTCACTTAAAATTGTATTAAATGTTTCAAGATTAAAACCGGTTTTTGGCGGATTTAAGACGCGGCTCAAATTCATTAAATTCGGACACTGTTAATACTTTTTTATTGCTCTCATCTATATATGTAATATGTATGTATATTTGGTATTTTTGGGAATCAAACAAACGTCAAGCCGAGAAAAAATGTCCACTTTGATAAATCCACGGAATTAAACAAAATATCGGCGAAATTATTCACTTTTATCAATTTTTGGAAAACTATAAAAAATTATGGTGCTTACTATTTAGAAATTAACATATGATTTTTAAGATACAAATCTTACTGGATAAAGGGCACGGAGCACCCTAAATCCTACCATTATGATAATACAAGTATGACAGATATATTGATGTTTAGGAATAAATTGAAATATATTGAATTGCATGGATTTAATCAAATCTATGCATTGTGATGTGTTTGAGTTTAGTTCAACTTGAAATTCATGAATATATATTATTGCAGATATAGTTTTAACCTTTCAGACTCCCATTCAAGAGATAGTAGCTTAGTTTTTTTCCTTTTCAACTTTTTCTACAGGCTTTCAGACCCCTCTGAATGTTACTTTTCCTGGTTTTCAAAAAAAAATCTGATTTTTAAAGTTATATAATTTTGAGAATTGACTCAGACGTTTTTATATCAAGTCTACATACTAAAAAACAATCATATACAACAAATAAAATGCTCTCACCCCCCCCCCCCCCCCNTAAAAGGAATTGAGTCTTTGTCACAAACTCTGATTTTTTAAACCCTATATTTTTAGAACCCAATTTCGTAAACCTTAGATATTTCAAACTATGAATTGTGTTAGTTCAAGTGATCTTAGTTTGAAATATAAAAGATTTATAATATTAGATTGGCAAGATATGAGCATTGGAAAATTTGAGTTTGTGACAAAAACTCAATTCCTTTGAGTGCAATATTTCATATAACAGGAACTGTACATAGACTTGCCAGTGACCCTCCATGCAAACATTTAAAAGTGTTTAGTTACGATAATTCCTTTATGTTTCTACTGCAGTAGCAATGCTCTTGAGTAAAAATTTTTAACGTTGATTTCTAATTCATACTTGATCAGACAAAGCTTTTATGAGTATCGTTGAGATTCGGGCATTGCCATCTTTGCAGTGAGAACTTCAAATCAGCTTCAAATGAAAACATTTTAATATATTTTAGAATCTTACTATACAATACACATATGATGTTTTATGCCTTGTTTCAATCTTCAGTAGATTAATCCTTGAAATGTATTGATATTTATCTATATATATAAATACAATGTTTATTTAGATAAAAATATAAAGTAGACCGATTTGCCTCGAATTTGAAAGATTTAATAGAAAGATGATATAATGATGACTCATTGCTTTAGGTGCAGAGTTGATTTTGATACAGCTCCAACTCAAAATGTTCACATTAATCTTTCAATTATTGGTGAGCTTTTTTTATCTAGGAATTATATTTAACATTATTCCTACTCATGTCTTCTCTATCTAAAGTAGACTGGACAGCCCCTGGGATGTTCATCATTAATCTGCAAAAAATAGCGAATTTGCAAAAAGTCCAAATATTTCATGCAAAATCCAGACAACAAAAATCACGCAAATTATGATGAAGTATGCAATTTTAAAAACCATCAACCCAGCAAATTTAAATTTGCAAAGATAGTTCTTAAATTTCAATACCTGGAAGTGGGTCTAAACGTAGATTTAACATGGCAAAGTAAAAACAAGGCAAAAAATGCAGGCCTTTATTTTTTTCATATTTGAAATAGGAGCAAACTTGAATTTTTTAATATGTCAAACTTCGTAAAAATGTTAAAAAAGAGGATATAAGAAAGCAAGTTTGTCAGGTGTCACAAATATTTTGTAATTCATTTTAAGAAAAACAAAACAATATTACCTTTCTGTTTCGTGGAAGAGATTTAACTATTTAAAGCTGGAACCTTGTTCTTTCTTAGATCAAAGAAACTGCTCCTAGTGACTCCGAGCTAGCAAACTTTGAATCCATGGGATTTATTCAATCCTCTTTCCTCCCCATGCTCTCTCTTTAAGAAAAGAATTTTAAAATGTATTTTCCAGATCTGTGTTCGTGAACTAGTGAACTTTAGTGTAGAAAATAGAGATCAACACTTCTATATATAAATTTGGCTTGTCTGTCTGTTTGTCTGTCTGTTTGTTAGTATCCAATAATCGTCAAAACGGCTGAACCGATTGGGCCCAAATTTTTTGTGGGACATCACGTGCCCACAGGGAAGGTTTATGAATGATCAAAATTTCAAATATTTGTCTCCATCAAAATTCGATCTTCATTAAATTTTTGAAAATTTTAAAAATCCACGAAATTTTTTGTGAAAATCCGCGAATTATTTTTGTTTTGTTTTACGATGTACACAAAGAGAACATGTTCACAATTAATTTAGAAGATGGGCGCGAAGCGCCTTATAAGGCTAGTTTATAAAATTTACATTAACTTTAAACATGTTTTCTGAAACCTGCAAATGTTTAATATATGTATTTGGACATTTACAAATGGCTCAAGAACTAGGCCATTGCTGAACCAGTCTTAACTAATTCAACTAGTTCTCCCGCATTCATAAATTGCAGTCACTGAATTTGCAGAATTTGTGGTTGTTAGAAAAAATAAAATTCTGATTGACTTTTGTTCTAAATTCGATAAGAAAGTGATTTTCTGATGTGGTTTGTTTCTATTTTCTTTGAGATTAAATTGAATAAAAAATATTTTCCTATTCTTGTTCAATCGGACTGGGAAAACCCTTCTATAAAAAGTTCATTTTGATTTAAAATATCTTTGCAGTTCTTAATCTAACTTTTGGTGTCTTTTGTTTTATAATATGATTTAATCAAAATAAGTAATTACAATTATTACAGAAAGTAAACCAAGTAGTTTCTTGTGCTTGTTCCATATAAGAAAATACATTAAAAAGAGTAAAACCAATTCTTAAACGTGCTTTGTAGCTGAAATTGCTTATTATACCCACTTTATACTGTAGTTGTATACAATACCTCTTCAAATTACAGATTTTATCCACAAATGTGCACATACATACTGATATCTCAGAAACTCAGGAATAATAATAGTTCTACAAAATTCAAACTAGTCCAACCGTATTTTGTACTGTGCTGTGAATAATATGCTGCCCCAAGATTGGCTATATTTCAATGTTTTATTAAAAGTACGACATTTCTATTTTATCTCCTTAGACTGGTGTACACTACTGTACAGTACACTACTGTACAGTACACTACTGTACAGTACACTACTGTACAGTACACTACTGTACAGTACACTACTGTACAGTACACTACTGCCATGCTTTGCCTTTTTATAGTCGTCTGCTAGTGTACTGTACTCGGACAGCTTGCTCTAGCTGTTTAAAAGTCGGGCGGGTACTTACAATAGCATCCGCCTGGCTTGGCCTGGTATTTCCATGTATCTAGTTTGTACAAACGGGGGTGGGATAAAACATTGATTAAAGGGATTGTTTGTTGATTTACAAAACACTCAAAGTACCAATAGCCGGAACTAGAGACATAACTAAGTAGATCAGGGTGAAGTGTGAGGGATGGTTCAACCACATATCTTTTACTGAGTGGTTCAACTTTAAGTTTTTAAACTAACCTAGTGACTATAGTGCCGAGTTCTGTTTCAGCCAAAAGATTGATTAACTTGATATTTGCGGCGCTCTGATTGGTTGGAGTTAATAACAAAATTTACCTGTTTCAGCTGACATCAAATTAGGATTGTTCAAAATATTGGTGATTCAGGATATGAGCCAGTCAGCAGTTTTTCCGTTAAAGAACTACACGTTCCTCGACCAATTATTGTCTAATCCATACTTTTTTGCAACAGCTAGTGTATTAGACCTTTGATATTTCCAACAATTGTAGCTAGTGTATTAGACCTTTGATATTTCCAACAATTGTAGCTCAAACAGCTAGTGTATTAGACCTTTGATATTTCCAACAATTGTAGCTCAAACAGCTAGTGTATTAGACCTTTGATATTTCCAACAATTGTAGCTCAAACAATCAAAGTTTGAAATATTTAAGGAAACATTAATGGACAATTTAAAGTTTAATGAGATAATGTTTTAAAAATATTTTGTTTTAGTTCCTCCCTCTACTCCTGTTTTACTTGACGGATGGGGAGCCATCATTGGTTCTACCTTTGGACCATTTAAAGAGGGGGATACGGCTTCTCTTTCCTGTGAAGTCAGAGGAGGTAAGGTAGTAAACAAAGAGCAAGCGATGCTCTTATTGGTTTAAAGGGTATATGAATTCCGATCGGACATACAAACAAACAGACAAACAGAGTTTAGTACTTTATGTACATGATGAATTAGAGAAAATTAGTACTTAATCAAATTAGTTTAATTTAATTGTTAATTAAACATGCACTCAGTTTTATTAATAGAATTGAGAAGATCAATTCATTTTCTAGTTTTCATTTCAGATAATTGTTTTGACTTTTTTAACAATATATATATTGCATGATTATATATCAGAACTGTAGATTTAATGAATCTGATGTGATGGACTGCATACTGCAGGGTTCTGTGATAATATGACCAAAAAAAGTGGAGGTTAGCAGAAAATGCTCCATTTTAGAGAGTGCCCTAAAGAATTCACAAGAGTACCCTTTAACCTTCATCTGAGTGATAATGATATCGTCGATTTATTATTTTGATAAATTATGAAGAATGTTTTTAAATTCTGAAATTATAAATAAAATAAGAGCTGAAAAAGTTTCAATACTATTTTTGTCCACCAGAGAATTAGCTAAATAACTACTCTGCAGTCTCAATTAAAAATTCAAATTTGTAAACTAAAAAGATTTATTTCTTGTGCAGTTTTATTGTCCAATTTGTGATCTGAAATTAATCATCAAAGTTTAGCTTTAATATTATTTTTCCTGAAGCTTCATTTTTAACTTTTCGTTAAAAGTTGTAAAACTATTTTAATTTATTACCAGACAACTTTTATATTTCTTAACACGCTTCAGAAACTTTCTAGCTATACAGCGAGATAAATATCATGATACTACTAGGCTTACATGGTGCTTATTGCCTTTATATCCAACACCAATTACAGGATTTTATTGTTGATCTTTCTTATTTTTAAAAGTATAAACAACAATGTAAATGTTCGCCAATTTTTCCTATTTTCTTCATGCAGATGTCCAGCATTTAAAAAATATAAATCTAAAAAAATGTTGATTGGCCATGGACTTACTTTGGGTCCATATTCTAGTGACGATTTAACTTTTGTTACTTTGAAAGTCGCCTAATTTTATTGTTTCTAGCAATTAAAAAAAGTTTTCGCTGATTTATTTTAACTTCTGTGAATTTAATTTTCAATATTTTATATTCCCATAACGCCTATAAGAAAAAAGGAAGAAGGCATTTTAAATAAAATTTTCAAGGCATGAATGCAAAAATTCTGTTGAAAAAATCAGTGATCCTTTATTTTAGAACCGATTTTAAATATATATGGTTGTATTATCGTATGATTATTGTATTTTCGATTGCGCGCTCAATCCTCTGGGATGTATGGTTCCGGTAACCCTGTACTCATCTCCTGATAATCTCCCCCCCCCCATCCTGTTGGATGAATGGTTCCAGTAACCCTGGATAATAACTCTGGTCTCTCTCTATCCTCGATATATTAGAAAGATCCGTGAGTAAATGAACCGTGGGATTGGGAATTACAAGACTACTTATTCCTGCGGAGAATATATACATGGTGTCCCAATAAACATGGTAATTGAGAGAAGACTTGAATATTGTAATTCATTTTAGATAATTGATAAATGACATGAAGGCACAAAAAAAAAGATCGAACGGCTAATGAGCTTTCCAAAATGTGGTCTGACGGATATATTAAACATTTAATCTGTTTTGTTGACTTTTAATTAACTGGAATCTGGACAAAGGAATTGAGTCTTTGCCACAAACTCTGATTTTTAAATCCTTATATCTTTCAAACCCAATGTAGTAATCCTTAGATATTTCAGTATATGAATTCTTTTCGATCAAATAATGAATTCTTTTCGATCAAATAATCTAAGTTTGAAATATCAATGGTTTACATAACCTGCAGGTTGTGAAGATACAGGGATTAGAAAATCTGAACTTGTGGCAAAGACTCAATTTCTTTCTTGATATCTCCGTCTATTTTGAAGGTGAAAAAATTGTAGATCACATTTTGAAAATCCCGAGACTATAAGTTTTCGATGTTTCGAAGTTTATTGGGACACCCTGTAGCTTAGCTAGGGCAGGGAACACAATAATTCAGCTCAGCCTATATTTTTGGCATGACATTAAACTGCACATACATGTGACTAGACGAGGGGATGATTCATTTACTGAGCTGTCTTGTTTTATTTTACGTCTTTATGTGTATACTGTCCAACCTTTTCCAGCTCCTTAAAAGTCATTCCGGTACTTGATATGAGCCGGAGTTTACGGAAACACTAGACCGACAAGTACGAGTACATTACATGCATATCGTGTGAGTTTAGTTAAACTCCATTTAAGGTTATACTAGTTTACTTAATTCATACAAGCCTGAGCTAGAAGATTGAGATCAATGCTTAAGATCGATATTTTCTAATCCTCAGATTAATTTAATCTTTATTCGAAATCCCGCTTGATATTCGTACCCAGTAAGGGGTTGATGTGAGCTTTGATCAGCAAAACAATTTATTTTTTGGAATTAAAGGGCAAAAACCTGTTATTGTTAGGACTGGAAAAACAGCAGTTATAAATTGAAGTTTTTCAAAATTTAGTGGAATTTTGTTAACAAGTGAAATAAACCGTCAGTCATTACTGAGTACTTACATATCAACTTAAAAATTAACTTTTTGCCTTACTCCGTACTTGGTCCAAGCTAAAACATACATTTCTTGTAATTCTTAATTAAAATCCATTGATTAGATGAAGAAGTAGGACCAATGGCAGATTAATTTTCTTTAGAAGGGTCTTGTTAATTTAGTGAATAGTCCCGTTTTGCCTGGTAAAATCCGTATGTGTACTGAACGGCTGGTTAGATGTCGGTCCGGATCTTGAAATGAACCGGACTTAACTGTGACATGGGAACTGAAATCCCCCTTGAAATGAACCGGATGTTCCGTAAATAAGCCATTTTTTTTTTGAAAAATAACCGAAATTGCAATTAACAATTAATAAAAATAAAAAATGCTGACGTGGCGGCCATGCCTAATCTAAGATAAGAGAAATGGTAACCATGTTCTGCATAAGGACTTAAATTAGATTTCTTTACAATCAGACAAAAATTTAATACTCTTTTAACAAAAAAATTAAAAGAATGTTTACTTTTACATTTTTACTCTTAGATGCAGCTACAAACAGAAATAATTTTTTAAGCACTTAAAATTAAATTTCTTTAATGAAGTATGAATTAAAAAAATTTCTTGAAATTCAAAGACAAAAATGTAAAAGTATAAAACTTCCTCTAAAAGGAAGGAACATGGTCTAAAGGAATTGAGTTTTAGCCACAAACTCTGATTTTCTAATTCCTATAACTTTGCAACCCGTTTTCCTAGACCTTTGATATTTCAAACTGTTAATTCTGTTAGATCAAATAGTCTAAGTTTGAAATATCAAAGGTTTACATCATCAGGTTGCAAAAATATAGGAGTTAGAAAATGCGAGGTTGTGGCAAAAACTCAATTCCTTTATAATCACTAAATCTTTTTAACCTAAGATGTAAACCTTTGCCAAGTCAATCTTTGGATTTTAATATAATTCATTATTTCAAGTATCAATCAGGTTGCAATATAAGGAAAAAAATATTCAATTTTACAGCAAGTACTGAAATATTTTTCATCGACGACCAGTTTTGGACAAATTGTACCTAGCAGAAACACTTTTTATTAAAATAAAACGACGTATAAACGACAGACAAAAAGCTCCAACAACATTTTTCAGAAACACCCTGAAGAAATTGAAAAAGAACTGAAATTGCATAACTTGTTCTCTCCCATTCTGTATTTTGAATATTTAATTTAATCGGAATTTCAAGAACTTCAATATAATTCTATTTTGACCAGAATAAACAAAATATATATTTTGTTTTTGAAATATCTGAAAAAGATACTGTACACTAATGTACCCTTCAGCTAGAACTTTATTGGAGTAGCAGAGAAGAAGATATCATCGTTTTTCACTCTTAGAGCAATATTCTGTTGAATGTGTCCCTTTGTATAAATCCTAAAAATATGTGTACATCTTAAACGGAAAGTCAGTTAAAACTGCGCCAACTGTCCATTAACCCTAGCCCTGCTCGAGTACTTTAAAACCATGAAAATTAAATTTTTTTCGACTGTATGTTGTAAATACCTTACTCCATAAACTACTCCCGAACTCGTATCTATCCAGGTATAACTCAGTTTCACTTAGCTATCAATATATGTACACCCAGTTACAATCTTGTAACCTATCAGTACCAGACAATAGGCACAATCTTATTAGCTATCAAATTCAACAAGGACACTAGCAATTAATTAATCAATGGCTCAAAAAGGACAAGATCCACATGGCTACGTTCTAATGAACTATCAACGCCTCTATCACTTGACACAATCTTGTAAGCTATCAATGTCAACACGGACATTAGCAATTAATTGGTCAATGTCTCAACCAGGACACAATCCAAATAGCTACAATCCTGTAAACTAACAACGCCACTACCTCTGGGTGCGATCTCGTTAGCTATCATCACAACATGGACACTAGCAATTAGTCAATCAATGCCAAACTATGTGCAAGACTTCATTAGCGGTCTATGTCAATCGCACACTAGCTCAAACTGTATCAATGCCAAACCAGTGGGCACGATCTCTGCTCGTATGTTTCCACAAGAACATTATTACTCTCATCACTGTAATCAAAAGGATTCTCTATATAAAGTAATGTATTTTGGATTTATTTACAATTCCTACATCGTTATCTATATCACATGATTGTCTTAATCATGTTAGGTATTTGAGCACAGTTGAAGTAGGCGCAATTTAGATGTGCATCATTATCTATATCACATTATTAAAGCTGAATGATGGTTCAATAAACCCTCAGAAATATTAATACTAATGATTTTGTATTCTTAACAACTGCCCTCAATTAATGATTAAAGCATAAATATTATATTCTGCGGTATTATATAAGAATTGATGAGCTATACAATGGGTTCTAGAGACATATTATCTTGGAAATATATCAAGCTAAAGGACATCAAAGAAGGAAAGCATATTAGATTGTCAAGTATGTTGTAACCTCACATAAAGATATTTAATATATATTTAAACATAGTCTTGTCTCAACATATTGAGTCATATTATGTAAATTATTAATTAAATAAATCTACAATAGAATCTTCTGTACAATATAAGATAAGAACAAAAATTTTACTAATTTGGTAATATTTTTTCGCACATTTTCAAAATTTAACAAAAATCAAAAACTTTTGAACAAAATTTTTTGTAATTTTAAGCATCCATAAACCTTCTCTGGGGTCATGTGAGGTCCCACACAACATTTGGGTCAGATCAGTGTAGTTGTTTTGACGTTTATTGGATACATAAACGGAAAGACAAACAGGAACTTCTTCAAATAAATGGTTTAAAAAACCAAAAAGGCAATTTTCTATTGTGTTTTCTCTACATAATGTTATCAATGATTTCTTACAATTTTGTTATCTGATAATTGTACCATTAATGGTAGAGTTGGCCATAATTATTTTCTGTTTTTTATATTCAAAACATATGTTGGCCTTAACCCCATCACTGGAGTGGATACATCATTGGAAAGCTTTTTTGCTTAATTTTAGAATCTGCAAAATTTATTTTTGACAAAATCCAGTTTTTTAGTAAAAATGTTTGCGAAAAAAAAGTACAAAAAATGATGAAATATACATTTTTGAAAAATCCATGACCATGCCATTTCAAATGTGCAAAAAATTGCCAAAATTTAAATAACATGATCCGTAATTAACAAAACTAACAACGTAGATATTTCTTTTGACGGGATGTTTGCAAAAAAATTGCTAACATTTCTTGTTCAATCCGTTTCCTTATTTCAAAGGCTTTCCATAAAGCTAAGAAATATCAAAATCTGACAAGTGAAAGTGAGTAAAAATAAACATATAGTTTGTTACAGGAAAAAAGAGTCATTCAGGCAGTTTGCCTGAGGACTCAGGCATTTAGTATAAAAGCCCAGTGTTTGACCTAAAGGACGGCTTTGGTTAATGGGTATTAGAAAAAGTCAGAAATTTAAACAGCCTCAGACCAATACCTTTTGAGTTAAGTAAAAAAAACTACAAGGGGGGGGGTCAAATTGAACGGAAATTTTTTTAAAGAACGAAAGGTAAAGTTTATTTTCAAATCGTTAAAGCACGAAATGAACTGTTCATGAAAAAAATTTATAAATGAAAATAAATAAACCGGACAGATGATTGGTTGATTTGCATGAATAACATGAAAAATTATTTGCTTATTATTTGTAATGAGTATCGACTTCTGTATTTTCTGAAAATAAACCAAAAAACAATTATTATTTAAAAACTCATTTAAACACTTTTAGCTAAACTTACAGATCAGTTTTTAGTTAAAAACGGGACGGATACTTTATTATTAAATTTTCTTGCCCTTAACGAACGGATTGAAAAAAAAGTGGAACGTGCCCAGGACTATCAAGGGAAGGGGGAGTAGGGGAAGATAATGTTTCCAAAAACTAATTTAAAATAAAATAAAAGTGAATTCTTTCCTGGACTTTATGTTTATTATTCTATGTGTAAACCTCAATATTTCAAAATGACAAGAAAATCCCTTTTATCCTAGACAAACATATTGGGTTTTATCCTAGACAAGCCCCAACATAACATGGGGTTTTATCCTAGACAAACCCCAACATATTGGGTTTTTTCCTTAGCAAACCCCCATTGTATTGGGTTTTATCCTAGACAAACTCCAACATATGTGGTTTTATCCTAGACAAACCCCAACATATTGGGTTTTTTCCTAGACAAACATATTGGATTTTATCCTAGACAACCCCCAACANGGTAGTTTTAGAAATTCTTAAATATATGAGAGCTCAGTAAGGAAAGTCGATTTTTCCGAATTTTTGAAATATTACTTACTTCAACCTGATTTGTATAAACTAGAGCATACAAATTTTAACAATTCTATGAGTATTTATTTTTCTGTAAAATCAATATAGTATGGTTCAGGGTAAGTTTCCCCCCCCCCTCTCTCTCTGAAAAAAAATCCCCTGATCCTGAGCTTTTCAATCGTTTAATCCAATAATTTTCGGCAAATCTTGTTTGATAATTGATCTGAACTACTTAGCAATCTGTTTGGAACGTTTAATAAATAATTTGCAAAATATAACAAATCTTTAAACTTTAAATCTTGATTTCCCTCTAAGTTCTGCGATAGCTTCTGCTTTTTTCAAACATTCACAGAGATCACAATTTGTCGCAATTAGAAATGAGCAGGTTACCTGAGCACATGGAGAGTTCGTTAACTAACTAAATGTAAAATCAGTATCCGAAATGAGCAATAAAGCTAATTCATAAACCGGTTTTCACAGGAGTTGTTGAGTACCTGTATAAAATCATACGATTTTAAATTGCTTATTAGACGACTTTCAGTCGTCTAGAATTAAGTTATTTCAACTTCAAAAATAATGATTGAAAATCGTTTGAAATGCAACTAATAATCGTTTATTAACCGATTTTTTGTCCTTAACACCTTTTAAGGGTACCGTTGTGAATTGGTCATTGCCATCTTTGCATGGAGAATCACTTGAAATTACGCTTATTGGTATCAACTTACTATAAGAATTACTGTATAGATTTAAAGTCAAGTTATACGGTTTAAATAGTATAATTAACATGAAATGCATTGACTTATTTGATTATATGAGTTGATTTAAGAGCTACTGTAGATGAATAAATCCTCAGAAGAGGATTATAAAACCCGCTAATCATTTGCGTTAGATTCTGAAACCAGATAATAGAATATATATTAGAGTGGAATTTAGACAATCTCTCGGTATGAATTTTGTCAGTCCCTTTCAGCCTGAAAGGGAGTATACAGTATGTTCCCTAGACTATCCATTTCAATTTCGAATTTTTTAAAGCTGATGTTAAATAAACTTTATAAAATGAATTAGGTGAATAAAAAATAACATCATTTAATTGAAATTTATAACGGAAAATCATCGTTTGTAAAGTGAAAGGCATAGAGCCTATGTGAAATGATCATTGGTCAATGATGAAACCAGTCTATTTCATAATTTGGTTTTCCTTTAATATTAATTTTAGATTTTTTATAAAATGATGGTCCAGGGCCCAAAAGGTTATGTAGTGCAAATATGTGAAGTACACTACACCTGCAGTATGGATACAAGACAACAAAATGGCCGTTTTACACTTTTTTCTAGTTAATTCCACTCTAATATATATTCTATTCTCTTTGCCTACTCATCCTTCTCTCCCTTAAAAGACTTATCATTAAGTATGTTTTATATCTATGAAGCAATAAATGTACTTGTAAACTACTGGTAAGTAGATAAGATTGGCCGAATTGTAATTTTAAGTAAAAATACAGAATTTTATTTAAATAGTCTTCATCTCAAAAAAATAAAAAAGTAAAATAGAAATATGCGGACTGTTCAGCCATCATCAATCTTGTTGTGAAGCAAAGTTTATTTGCTGCAGAAAAGTTTTCTGATCAAAAAGAAAGTTTTCAGAGATTTGAGTATTCTCTTCTATTACAGGTTTCTTCTGGGTCCAGTATCACTAGCCGGCTTGAACTCCCAGGAAGGATGTTAACCCTACCCGTGAAAATTTTGCAAAATACTCTTTCAAAAACAAAATTAGAAAAAAAACGATTTTCAGCTCCTTAATATATATATTCAGGGCTACAAGAAAATAACACTAAAATCGTAGTATGACAATTGTTTGATGGATCATTTAAAGCTATGTTGTTTACCAATAAGAATGGAACTAGAGAGAATGAGAATGGAACTAAAGTGATGTAGAGATTTTAAAGCTATGTTGTTTACCAATAAGAATGGAACTAAAGTGATGTAGAGAATTTAAAGCTATGCTGCTTACCAATAAGAATGGAACTAGAGAGATGTAGACAGTTTAAAGCTATGTTATTTACCAATAAGAATGGAACTAAAGAGATGAAGACAGTTTAAAGCTATGTTTTTTACCAATAAGAATGGAACTAGAGAGATGTAGAGAGTTTAAAGCTATGTTGTTTACAATAAGAATGGAACTAGAGATATGTAGAGAATCAAAGCTAGGTTGTTTACCAATGAGAATGGAACTAGAGAGATGTAGAGAATTTAAAGCTATGTTGTTTACCAATAAGAATGGAACTAGAGAGATGTAGAGAATTTAAAGCTATGTTGTTTACCAATAAGAATGGAACTAGGGAGATGTAGAGAATTTAAAGCTATGTTGTTTACCAATAAGAATGGAACTAGAGAGATGTAGAGAGTTTAAAGCTATGTTGTTTACCAATAAGAATGGAACTAAGTATACATAGAGAATCTGAATACATTTTAACAATGACGTATTTTGACACACGCACCTCTGACCCTTTAGTAAAAGTAAATTCAACTTTAAGAATGACTGTCTCAACCTTATTGCACCGTCTAGTCTTATTGCGTTTATCCAATGTCCAGGCGATACAGTACAAACTGGGACCGAAAAGGTTGACCTGGCCGTGGACAGCTACAAATGCTCACATCTAGTTTTTTTTGTAAACAATAACAACGATTGTAATTAAAATCGATGCTACTTATTTATGGTATTTGTTTACAACAGTTTCCAAATACGTCACAGTAGAATGTAAACAAAGGCTTTCGTATATTTTTAAATCTATAGCGTGGTGTCTTTATATAATAAAATGGTGAACTATAGATTATGAAAAAAAATAAAAAGCAAAACAACTGAAATTAACAAAATACTAAACTTTTTTAACTGTTTACAATTTAAATACAAAGAAACTGAAATAATAAATACAAAGTATAATGTGTAAGTGTGTACAGTGGGAGTTGTAAGTTCAAAGCAAAACTTTTTCATTAAATAGAAAGACAAACATTTCTGTATTTTTCTAGACAGAGGAACAAAAGCATAATTATCTTTTTCTTTAAATAAAATATTTTTGTAAGTTTTTGCAAGTTAAGAGGAAGGAGATTGTGGAATCAATCATTTCCCTCTTTGTGCACTATGTCTGTAATTGAACAAATGAAAGTTTTTTTTTACTTTAGTTTGACGTGTGCATTCTTCTTTTAACCCCCCTACAAGAACAGAAAAGCCCGATTTAAGTGTAATTTCAAGTGACCCCCCCCCCCCAATGCAAAGACCCCCCCATATGCAAGGACAAAAAAGCCCGATTTAAGTGTAATTTCAAGTGACCCCCTATGCGAAGATTGAAAAGTCTCCGATTTGAAACAGTACCCTTGAAACCTTTTTTACATTTATTTTTGAATTTTAATTTTAACTAAATCTTTTCAGTCTAATAATCCCTTTTAGACAAGAGAAATATGCATTTTTACATAGATTCCATTTTTTGAAAACTTAATCTGATCAAAAATGTGAAAGATATTGTAATTTTTTAAAATTAAAAATTGTTTCTTATAAATAAAAAATATACATGTCACTTTTGCTAAGAAACCAAAATGAAATGAAACAATTTAAATGAACAAAAACGTGAATATCTAATTCCTATTTGATCAGACAAAGCTTTTATCTTACCGTACCGTTGTAAATACGGACATATTTATATGGAGGTTCACTTTACGTTTACAATTCCTTTAAAGGAACTGTAAAGGAAAAATGAAAGGGGGTATAGGCTGAAAGCTAATCACTTTAGCTCTTGATCGCGACCCATAAAAGTCATATCTGATGTTCCTGTCTCGACAAATTGGTATAAAACTGTGTTAAAATTATACGAAAGTTCATATATGTAAAATTTAGAAAATCTTAAACTTTAATCACGTGACCAGAACTATCACCAATGGCAGAGCAGTATACTGATCATGTGTCTCCGCCTGTATCACGTGACCACTTTACTGCACTGCCATTGGTGAAATTTCTGGTCAAGTAATACGGACGTATAAATAATATTATGAATGAAATCTGTTAAAATTAGAAATAACAAATATAAAAGTAAACCTAATTTACAATTAGCTTTCTCTGGGATATCTCGTTTTCAGATTGGTTGCATATTTGCTGAATAGGATCTATCTAAACCCACTACTACAGTCCCTTTAAGCATTTTATATGAAGGGTTAACAAATCCTTAATAGTTTTACGAAGAGAGGACACAAGAAGTCTTGTTTCATGTTTTACCAACAACAACAATATCTCACAACAGCTCTCAGCAAACACAACCATCAATGTTTTAGGTCAGTTCAAAAAGTGTTTATACCGATTTTTATATTTATTCACAATACCCTCAAATGCAATTATACGCTTTTTCAGGTTTTTCTCATTTGCAAGTCTTTGCGCAAAATCAAATATTCAACTGCCTATGTCATTGCAACCTAATTGTGTAAACCTTAAACATTTCAAACTTAGACTTTAACACTTAACAGAATTCATATTGTCTCTTTGCAATTCTTGATGGCAACGTCTTTTGCCATTTCCTGTATCAAATCTGTAAATCAAAGTTAAGAGTAAAAAATATCATGTTATGCCATGAAATTCTGTCAATTAATTTATGTTAGTTAAAACGTTACTTAATTTGCAGGGTACAAAAAACATTGATTCAGACTTAATTACTAGCTTTATTACTTAACTGAATAAATTAAACTTTTTTGTCAGATTTGAATTTAAAGTGATATTTATTTAAGTTTAATTTAAATTAATTAAGTTCCTCCTGTGAGTGTAAGAATTGAGGAAAAGAGGAAAAAGCTAGTTGATGGGAAAATATACTTATTCAATTGTGCGGCAGAGGTAATACTTCATTAATGGGACTGTTCACCTACAGGGTGTCCCAATAAGTATAGAAAAGAGAAAAAAAAAATTTATATTATCTTTGTTCCAAGTAGCTTCATTACATGTCTGTAGTCAAAATGTAAAATTTGTGCTTCAAAATTTTTGCAAATTAACTGATATAATAGGACATTATGTCCAGATTCCAATACATAAATACAAAACAAAGTCGATAATTTGTGTATTGTCTTCGTCAATTTTGAATGCAGACTCTTACGAACGACATTTAAAGGCTTTTCGGATTTTTTTTTTTAATGTCTAGGGTAGGGTACAGTTTTGTAAAAAGTCCGGTCCCAATAAAAAAAAACACCTAAAATAACCCAACACTTTTTTGTGACGAAAACTACAGATTTAAAAACTATATTTTTGAAAAATGGACGCCAAATATTTGTCACAATTTGATATTTGTTTAAACAAAAAATATTATTTTCATCATTTTTTTAACCCTTTTTTTTGGCATTTTTTAAACCCTCCGTAGTACCCAAACTTATTTAAGTTATCGGTTTAATATTCTTTTTACAATGAGCTGGCCATGAATGTTAGGCTATGAAGATGCATTTCAACCCTATACCATTTTCTGCATTTAAAAAAAAGGAACACTCCCTTCCCTTTATAAAAGAGTTCAAGTGAACTATTCTAAAACTTTTAATTTGAATACTAAAATTCTAAATCTAAAACTAAACAATGTCTTAATAAACTTGAAAAATTGTTGAAACAAAATTATTCGAGTTTTAAAATCTAAAAGAATATTAAAATATAAAAATGTTTGATTTAGGATTTCTACCCAAGTATTGAATACACATGGTTCCTTAATCAAGAGATCTTGCCGCACTCTAAACCTACAAAGGTAATTCCATGACGCACCATGCGCAATGCGCACTGCGCATTCAATTTTAAAAGACTTTGCGGCAATCCGCACTATAAGCCTTTTGTTTTCTAAAGCTTAAGAAAATAGTTGAAAATAAAATTCATAGTTGAAAAATCCAAGGTCTACAACATCGGGTATAGAAATTATAAAATCAGAGTTAGTGGCAACAACTCAATTCCTTTTTATAATTCTGAGTAACCATAAACCTTTCCTGAGGTCATATGAGGTCACAAAAAATGTGGGTCTAATCATTTCAGCCGTTTTGACGTTTAATGGATACAAACAGACACCCAAGCAAAGTGTATATATAAATTATGAGTATGTTATTGTAATAATAATGAAAATCTTAGATTCCAGATTCCAAGCAAAACTAAATAAATTGTAAAGTAATGTAAGTTTAGAACATTCTGTTCACATGTTTAGCTTATCCTTGCATACAAATGTTTTGTTTAAGAATAAACAGTCTACACTGCAGAGTTCATTATCTAACAGAATTTAATTGAGTAAGCAAAGCTAATTTGGAGGAATAATTAAAAAAGAACTAATAACTTATTGCAACGTTGATGACGTTAACATTTCAAACTTTAACGATTAGATCTAACAGATTTTTAAAGTTTAGCAATAGGCGACACCGTCAGGCTACAAAGATAAAAGCATTATAAAATGAGTTTGATGCGACTATTTTGCAATCACTTGTCTTGATTTCAAGTTCCTTAAATTCTGCTAATCTATGCTAATCTAAAGCTTAATTGCATTTATTTTTAGAAAATTAAACGCTGAGCAGTGCATCTCAAGATCAAATTTTTTATTTGGTTTAGATCTAAATTAGACTAACAAATAAATGCTTTATAGTGAATATTATGTTCACTTTATAATTCATTCATCATGAAATTAATGAAATGGTAGAAACGATTGTTATGTTAAGTAAGAATCCTCCGATAAAAAAAAGGTTTCTGTTGATACATGAATCCTCTCTCTATGGAAAACTTTCACCGACAAGGGTCAAACGACCTAGGATCAAACGACAAACGGTCAAAAACGCGACAAAGGGTCAGAAATGGCTAAAAACGGGAAAAATTTCATTAAGACTATTCTTGTTTAATTTGAATTTTTTTATGTTAATTAGAACTAGTAGACGCAGCGCTCTGCCTCCTAGCCTGTCTTAGCCGCAGTGCTCTACCCAGAAATTGTCTGAATCTAACCTAACCCTGAAATAATACAATTTTTATTTATGTTTTATGTTTATTTGAACTACTAGCCATAGCGCCCGGCCCTCAAGCCTGTCCTAGCCGCAGAGCTCAGCTCAGAAATTGTCTCAACTTAACCTAACCCTAAATTTTTTTCCATTTTGACCCTTTGTCGCTTTTTGGCCGTTTGTCGTTTGACCCTATGTCTTTTGATCCTAGGCCGTTTGACCCTATGTCCTTTGACCCTAAGTCCTTTGACCCTATGTTGGGGAACCATTACAAAAGGTTTAGTGCAAATTAATCAGTAACTAGGACAAGCGTATAGTAACTAGGACAAAATCCTAAAAGCCGGTAAAAGAATTATGATAACTCTATCAGTCACAAGAGGCCGGGGAGTACAAGAGAAGTATTGTACAATTTTATCTGTCACAAGAGGCCGGCTAGTACAAGACATACTGTACAAATTTATCTGTCACTAGAAGCTGGGCCGGTACAAGANTAAAGTATGGTACAATAGTATTCAGATTGTATATCCCTCTAAAGTATGGTACAATAGTATTCAGATTGTATATCCCTCTAAAGTATGGTACAATAGTATTCAGATTGTATATCCCTCTAAAGTATGGTACAATAGTATTCAGATTGTATATCCCTCTAAAGTTTTGCACAACTTCCAATGAACCAGGGTTTGAACTGACTGCCCTGAAAACGATTTAGTTTTAAACAATGATTTGTTTATTCAATTTGTTTAAAGTTTGAATACAAATATATAAGTTTTCAATTCTTCCAAATAAAGACTTTCATAAACATTTATTTTGGTTTGTGAAATCCCATGAAATTACCGAGCGGTCATATAATCCTAGTCCAAAGTACATTGTATATAGAAAATATACTAAAATTACAATTTACCCTTTTTTTCTTTAAATTCAAATAAGATCAGAGCTGGGACTCTTGTATGGTGGATATTGGGATTAATGCTTGATCCGCTCTTTTTCTTAATCTCGAGATTAACTAATGCTTGTTCTCCTCTTGTTACTAATCTCCAGATTAATTAACCGATCGGGATCAAGGATATCCCATTCTAAAGTTTTCAGCTCTGATCACATTTGACCAACATTTTTTCTTTCTTTCTCTTAGATTTTTTATACTCGACTATTTTAAGCAAAAAAACGTTTAGAGCCAAGTACTTTTCATTGTACAGGGACTTTAAGATTAATTTCAAGTGACTCTCATGGCATTAAAAGATTTGAAAAAGCTTTGTCGGATCCAGTGTGAATTTTCTATCAATGATTATAATTTTGAAAACTGGTCATTTTAAATTGCGGTTTCCATACAAAGGTAACTTGCGCATTTCTACTGCAGGAAAACATACATAAATTATCATAATAAAATACTTTTTATTTTTACACTTAAAGTCTCCATAAAACCTTAAAAATGTTTTGTTTTCAGGGTTCCAATTTATCCACCCTTGAAATTGAACTAACGAGGCACCAACATGGTTCAATTCTCTCCTGTCGTGCCTTTAACCCTGAAATCCCAGACGTATCTCTTCAAGATTCATTAGTCCTGGATATATATTGTAAGTTGCTTTTTTTGTAAACAGTCCTAAATTCTAAATAACCCGGAATTATATAAAATCAATTAATGACTTCGAAATAGTTTGCGGCATTCAACATACAGTGGTAGGTGATTATATCAATCATAGAGAAATTATCTCTTTGCCACAAACTCAAACTTTATACCTTTACAACCTGAAGGTGATATTTCAGAAATACTTAAATTAACACATAATTCATAGTTTGAGACATCTACGGTCTATACGACATTGGGTTGCAAAGATATAGAGATGAAAAAATCAGAGTTTGAGGCAAAGACTCAATTGTTGAACACTTTTCATGGTCTATTATTTTCTTTAACATTACAAGTTTAGATAATGTGCACATTCTTCCAGGTTTCAAAAATAAAAATGTTATTAATTTTTTTTAATTGATGTATTTTATTATCTAGAACAAAATTAGAATTTTTTTTTAATAATTTGCTTGATTTTTTAATAATTTGCTTGACTTTTTAATAATTTGCTTGACTTTTTAATAATTTGCTTGACTTTTTAATAATTTGCTTGACTTTTTAATAACTTGCTTGACTTTTTAAGACTGATATTTAGACAGCTTTTTTAATTAATCGCTTAATTAATGTTGTAATTTTGAAATATTTTATTCTTTAGATAAACCCGTTTTAAAGCTGGAGCTAGGGGCAGGACTAAATCTTCATAACATCAGACAATCTTCTGATATATATTTAGGCAATTATCAAATTTTTCTTTTTTTATTCAACTGTTTCACTTTTTTTCTTTTTATCCAAATAGTTAAATCAAAAAATCATTCATAATCTTACTGATTTTGACGTAAAATTTGACTTGATTAAAATAATACTTTTACTGTATGGTATTTTTGAAATTCTCTTTTCGAAGCCAAATACTTCAGTGTTTTAAAAAAAGTTTTGTTCTTCCAAGAAAAAAGCCTTGTTGGGACCCCCCATCCAAAGATTGCCATGTCAGATTTACAGTGGTGCCATTTATTTGTTCACCAGGATAGAAGATACTTTAGTTTGCATGGTTTAAATGTATTTATTTCTGATAATTTTCATATTTTGTCAGTTTTTAAAATTATAAACTTTAATATCTAATTCATATTTAATCCGACGAAGTATTAAATCTGTTGTACTTTGCCGTTTTTGCATGTAAGCTCACTTGAAATTAAACTACAGTCCCTTTCAGAATAGTAAAATTTCCACCTCTAATCTTATAATTTGATAAATGTGTACTGCAGAGTGTACTGCAGATAGCAGACCAGCATTACAACATGTAAGGTGGAAGAAAGATGTAAGTTAACAATCAAATTATAAAATGTACACAAAAAAGATAAATATTATTTAATTGGTTGTTCGCCTTTGCTCCTCAAACAAACTTTTTCATAAAACCATTAATATTTAATATTCTTAGTAATTGGATTTTCAAATTGTTTATAGATCAATTTAAAAAACCTTAATTTCTTAAAACTCAATTTTAGTCTCTGTATTACTTTTTCCCAATTCTTAAGAAGAACCGTGTTCAGAATATAAAACTTCTCCACCAGGACAAAATTAAATATTTTTTGTGAGTTGTTTTGTCATTTGTAATTTCTTGAACATGGATAATCCCTTTTCTACTAGAGACGGAAAATAAATTAAATTGTGTGTACTTTTTCTTCTCAAAAGCTATCTTATACTTACAATATTTCTATCATAACATAATTAGTTTTCCGTAACATTAATTTAATCTAACATTGAGAGCTTTTATTCGACATTCATTTCCCATGAGTAAAGGCATCTACGATCTACCACCAACAAATATTTTTTGTGAGACATTTAACAACTTTACAATAATGTAAATATATTTGAAATATTTTAATTTAAGAAATTGAAATTCTAGTTTCATTTTTACCATTTTTAATATATAACTTAAATATTCTGGAACAATTTGATTTATCCCTAAAATGTTGAAGTTTTCTAAAATCAAGTTGGCTCGAAAATATGTTTGTAAATATTTTTACCATGTAGGCCTGGGGACGTTATATAAGTGATTCACCATTTATAAAGTGGTTTTGTATGACCCAATAATGGATGAAATATCCACCACTTTCTCTTGATAAATTGAATACTTTCACTTGTGTGCCATAAATCCTTTAACCCTATAAAGACTGGGGGTCTGAATCTCTGACAGCCCGGGGGGGGGGAGGGCGTCCCAAGCCACCCTCCATAGAAAAAGGCCTTAGAGAATAGTTATAGGGTTAAAATGCATGTTCATAGCCCAATTTGTCAAGGCCAGCTCATTGAAAAAAATTAGACCGACAACTTTAATAGTTTGGGTGCTGGGGTTGGTTCAAAAAAATTGGACAAAAAATTTAATTTTTTTTTTTTAGAACAAAAGTGTGACCCATGTTTCTATTTTTTCCAGGGCTTTTTGTAAATATAGTTTTAAGATCTGAAGCTTTAGTCACAAAAAAGTGATTTTAGATTTGTTTTACACAGACCGGACTTTTTCCACCCAGTACCCTACCCAATACATTAAAGAAAGTTGTTTTTCACAAAATTTCTTTTAAATTTCAATTCATGAAAAGTCATAAAATTTCACAGTGATAGTGTCAAAAATGAGAGTGCTAGGTCAAACAAACCATAACGCCCCCCCCCCCCAGCCTGTTTAGGTTTAAAGAATAAATTGATAAAAGACTGATGTGCCCAGACCTATTGAGATGTACTAGTAAACATATGTGTAACAGTTGTGCAAAATATTAGATTTAATATTTAAGATATAAAAACGTTTGAGCTGAATTATTTTCTTGTGTAAAAACAAACAATTTATTTCTGAGTTCTGTATTGAAAAACGTTTCTTTATTAACAGAGCTAGAAACTCAATTGTGACTATCGAGATCAATGCTTGATCCTGATCTTTTGTTAATCTTAAGATTAATTTAATATTTATTTAATATCCTGCATTGAAATTATACCCTGTCAGAGATAAAACTAAATTAAAGATATGGTAATGTATATTTTGTTTATGGATCCTCAAATTAAAAGTGCCTACAGTGGATATCAAGAACAAGTGATCAGGATTATGGTCATCCAACTAAAAAGTTCCCAGCTCAGACCCATTAATAAATAGTTATCATAAATATTTGATGAAGAAAAATTAACTAGCAGGTTTAAACATTAGACCAATTGTTGCATAATCCAAACCCTTTACGAGGATACCGGTCTGACGTGCTTCCTCGTACCTGCACGCTTAGTGGGAAGGCTGATTCACAGTGATCCTAGTAAATAAAATGAAATATTCAGGGTTTTGATATTACGGAGGAAAAGAAGAAAGGGCGCCTTGTATCAAGAACCAGTTTAGTTATTCAAAATATATCCAGGTAGAAAAAAACTTTAACAATAAGGATTGTTCCACGATCAAGTCTTTAGCATCATTTTTTGAAAATAGTGGAGCCAAATTTCCAATATAAGAAAACTTTTTTCTGAAATTATTTGTAACTTTGAATTCGGCCACTACTGCTAAACTTGCAACAAAAGGTTCGATTTTGTCAAGGTACTAATGCAAGGAAAGTTATTTCAGAGGTGTGCGCATTTTTTGTACTGCAGTGTACTGTCTTTGGGCGGAAAGGCAAACACAAGACGGATGTCACAGCCTGACATGGAATCAATTTTCACAAAAATAATCCATGAACTTTTCTGGTCATAAGAAACTAATATGTGAATTTTCAAAATTATCAAAATTGAATGTTTTTATCTTCCTCGGATACTAGATGAACACTGATGCATCTATTCTTGTTTACAAATTCCGCCCAGAGAGAACTTGTTTCAAATTTCAATAAGTACGCAGAGTATACGCGACCGCAATTGCATTAGTACCTTGGATTTTGTAAAGTTCAGTACTGATTTTGGTCACTATATTGATATACTTGCGACTAATTGTTCTGTTTTTTAGTGTTTAATTCTGAATCTGGTCACTTCTCACTGGCGATTAATCATTTTATATTGTAGAGTTTAGTTCTGAATCAGGCCGCTACTGCAACACTGGCGACTTAATGTTCTGTTTTGTAGTGTTCAGTTTTGAATCTGACTGCAACTGCAACACTGGCGGCTTAATGGTTCTGTTTTGTAATGTTTAGTTCTGAATCTGGCCGCTACTGCAACACTGGCGACTTAATGTTCTGTTTAGTAATGTTTAGTTTGAATATGGCCGCTACTGCTGCACTGGCAACTTAATGTTCTGTTTTGTAATGTTTAGTTCTGAATCAGGTCGCTACTGAAAAACTGGCGACTTACTGTTCTGTTTTTTAGTGTTTAGTTCTAAATCAGGCCGCTATTTCAATACTGGCAACTTAATTTTCTGTTTTGTAATGTTTAGTTCTGAATCTGGTCGCTACTGCAATACTGGCGACTTAATGTTCTGTTTTGTAATGTTTAGTTCTAAATCTGGCCGCTACTGCTACACTGGCAACTTAATGTTCTGTAGCTTAATGTTTAGTTCTGAATCTGGCCACTACGGCTGCACTGGCGACTTAATGCTCTGTTTTGTAATGTTTAGTTTTGAATCTGGCCGCAACTGCAACACTGGTGACTTAATGTTCTGTTTTGTAATGTTTAGTTCTGAATCTGGCCGCTACTGCAACACTGGCAACTTAATGTTCTGTTTTGTAATGTTTAGTTTTGAATCTGGCCGCAACTGCAACACTGGTGACTTAATGTTCTGTTTTGTAATGTTTAGTTCTGAATCTGGCCGCTACTGCAATACTGGCGACTTAATGTTCTGTTTTGTAATGCTTAGTTCTGAATCTGGCCGCAACTGCAACACTCGCGACTTAATGTTCTGTTTTGTAATGTTTAGTTCTGAATCTGGCCGCTACTGCTACACTGGCGACTTAATGTTCTGTTTTGTAATGTTTAGTTCTGAATCTGGCCGCTACTGCTGCACTGGCGAGAACTCTGAGGGAGAAACTAGTTCTAATATTATCACCGTTGATGTAAAATGTAAGCCTATGATGTTAAATGCTAAATGTAGGACAAACATTAAACTTTTATTCGGGAAAATTTCGTTTTACTCATTGTATATATTTAACATTTCACAAGTTTAGCACCTCTAACATGTGGGAAGTTCTCTGAAAGAATAAAAATATAAAAGCTAATGTTTATGAAAACAATATATAATTATAATATGCCTTCATAGAAGAGAATGATTTTTTAAAAATTTTTTTATGTTTGAAAATTATTTGGTAATGTAACATTAAGAAAATGAGAAAAAGAAGTTCAGATAGTTCTGGACAAATTTTTAAGGAAAAGTTATTTAAATTCTCTAGTTCCTTTCTTCTTAGTATATTCTAAAGTATTAAATATACGCTGTTCAGTTTAAACCTTATAAGAACCATTGAAAAACAATTTTTCCGTAAAAATTATACCAGAACTGAAAATTGCGAATTGAATTTGAAAAACAATTTTTCTGTGAAAATTGCGAATTTTCTTATAACAATTTTGCAAATTTTCAGAGATTCTGTAATTCAATCTTTAAAAAATTTTAGATTTCGATAAAAATAATATATATGGACATTTTTGTTTTTCTGAACTTTTGATTTTGAGAAAAAAAGGTTCGCGGATTTTTTTTGGGCCATTGGAGTACCAAAAAAAATACCAATTTTCAAAAAATATTGAAAAAACACCATACAGGAGAGTTGCACAAAAAAGGTACAATTTTGCACCAGGCGACGCAAATCACACTTTTTTGACTCACTCTGTAAATATATATAATTAAGGACCGAAAGGGATAATTTTTTTAGGAAACCCTTAAGTACCCCGGGGATAACATGGGCTAAAATAATTCGATTTTATTTTCTTTTAAAATAAAACTTTTTTTAAAATCCATTTTTTTCAAAATTCGATAAAAAAAATTCACCGGCAACGCCGGAAACTTCAGCTAGTATTTAATAATCCCTTTAAAATGATACTATTTTCAGTTAGTCCTGAGTGTTCAGAGCAACCAGAAAACATTCTTCTCCAGAAGAAAGCATCAATCCAAGGAACCATATCTTAAATACATTTTTGAGATTTTTGGAAAAATCTAATTTGCTTAAATTTATACAGTTTTGGTTTGTCTGTCTGTTTGTTGGTTTCATTGTGTTGTGTTCATGAAATTTAAACTAAGGAAATGATATATAATTTTCTGCAATACACCTTATATGAATCCAGAAAGGTTTTATGGTCTTTTGCAGTCTAAATGAAAACATTTCGATTATTTTTTAATTTAGGATACCTATCAATATAAAACAGAATAATCTTTGTAATTATTTTGCTTTTTGTTGCATGATGAGAGATTGGTTACGTTGCACTTAAGCAACATTTAAAAGCTTCAATTTTTACAAAACGCCTTCAGAGACGATTTTAATCTAAAATTCTGGCAAAACTTTAAAATTACGTATTTTAAGTGTAATTTACATTGAGATGTTTTTACTCAGTATTGTTTCCTTATATATGAATCTTGATTAGCGAACCAATACCAGCTTTACAATAGTATAAATAAATTCATTTTTAACTAAAACTAATTTTATAATTTTGAATATAATTTATAATATAAGAATTTTACCGGTCGCATAATGGCCAATGGGCATGGCTGCAATTACATTTCCAATATTGCTGTATGTTTAACAGCATCTTTTCCAAAATTAAAAAATTCCGTAATTTCAGCGAAAATTTTACAAAATATAAATGCATTCTTACTTTTTTATTTTTTTATTGAATATAGAATCTTGATAACCGACCGTCCTTACACCGGTTTTAAAATGATTTATTGGCTGCTATTTTATTTACAATTTTAACAGCATCTTTACCCAGATAATAAAATTACGTCATTTCAGCATAAATTTTACGTAATATACCAAGTCTTTATCCGTATGTAGAATACCATTTTAAATCAACACTAGTTTTGACAAATATTAGTTTTGTTGAATATTATAAGATCGAGCCTGGAAGAGCCATTTTTTCCAATTTAGAATCTTGATGACCGACCTAATACCATTTAAAACCAGTTTTACAATTATTGGTTCTATAAGATAAGAATTGTACTGTTTGTATGATATGGCTGGAAAACCTATTATGTTTCCGATATTGCTGTCTTTTACGGCATCTTTATTTTTTTCTTTTATTGTTGATATTTTTCTTTACTCTTCACTGCATTTCCTTCGAAAGCATTTTTTTTACAAAATCAGAGTCAAAGATTTGTACTTTAACAGCTCAGAAAATTTTATAGATTCACATTTTTTATAACACAGTTAATTTTAGAAAAAAATGTGACATTTTTCATTCTGACCTGATGGCGCAGTCAGGTCACATATAAATGAACACAAGGGTTAAGCCGTTTGACATTTGTTCATTTTTAAATATAAGTTAAGACTTTAAGGTTCAAGGGCATTTTTCTTGAACTTTCGCTATTTTTACTCTATTAGTGAGCATTTTTCTTACTTTGCAAAACCCATAGGACAAAAAACTTCCAGACAAAGCAATATGATAGCCAGACCTTGGTACATACATAGGTTGGTAAGTGATACATAATGATGTAAGATCTTGGCTGTTTCAGTTACTTGTGGAATGTCTAGTAACCCTGGAGTTGAAAAATTTTCGTGGAAATTTAAAAATGAAAAGTTTGAGGTAAACTATTAAATATAAAATTATTAATATTGTAATTTGTAAAACTAAAAATATTATTGTGCAAGTTAATTTCTGTAAACATATATAAACACGTCCGTGGGGATTTTTCAAGTCCTGACCTGCAAAGTTCAAATATTGTACTTTTCTTTTCAGTCCTAACCAAACATTTATTATTCTATTAAAAAATCCACAAATTAAATTATAAATAACTTTAAACATTTTAAGGGCAACCCAAGCCCTAAAGAACAGATCTCATCTTCTATCTAGTTTATACAGATATACATATATATATATTGAGATGTTTGTATAGTTTAACCATATAAAACGGATAATATTAAAACAGTGGAAAAATTGTTTTCTTTGAACTATACATGCGTCGATAAAAATATGATTAAAAAATTGTCAAGAATATTTTCAGAAATAAACCAGTTATAAATGCTACAAATTAAAATATCCTTATTATAATCATATAATCATAATATAAAATTATGGCAAAAAAGAATTTTTTTATGATTTTTTTTTCTTGGGACCAAATTTTATAAAAAGTGTAAAATTAAACCACTTCTCTTTAACTTAAACTTGCGCATACGATTAGAAGTTCATATACTTAAACTTCTTCTCGTTTTCATTAAAGGGACTGTAAGCGTAATATCGATCATGTGATCCTCCATGCAAGAATGGCCATGTCCGATTTACAACGGTACCTTTGAACATTTTGTCTCATCAAGTATAAAAATGATTGAGATATCAATGTTTTTGCTCCTTCAAACTGTTTCTTTTCATTTACGGTTTCTCTAGGAAAGGGACTTGCGCATTTCTTGCTTATAAGAAGCAATGAGGAAAATCACAGAAATAAACATTTTTCAGAAAAACGACTTTTGATCCGATTAGGGTTTCATGGGTACCAGAAATCGGGTATTGTCATCTTAGCATTGATAGTCACTTGAAATGACGGTTACAGTCCCTTTAACTCTTACCTCAAAATACACAAATGTTTTTGTACAGGTGGATATACCAGAGTCGTTGTACACTGTACATGAAAACACGTCTGTACTTAAATACTTTGCTCATTCAGGTAATCTTAAAGTAATGTCAAGTTGTAAAATTATTTGCTTTGAAGTCTGCTTCTATTTCTATTGTGGACATTTTCTCTTTGTGCACATTGTAAAACAAAAACAAACAAAAAAGTTCGCGGATTAAAAAAAAAATTTCTCTGGGGTCATGTTAGGTTCCATACAAAATTTGGGCCCGATCGTTTAGCCTTTTTGACGTTTTTTGGATACAAACAACCTAACAGACACCCAGACAAGCAATGTATATATATATATAGATTGTGTCATGTGAGCACAATTTTGATGAAACTGATGGTATAATTTAACAAAGGTTGAAAGTAAAAAATTCCTTCAAAAGGGAGCAAAGAGAAAACACATTCCGGTTTCCATGACAATGGATAAAAGGAATTTTTCTTTATTTTCAATGACAAGTATAATTTATTGAACATTTGGATGAATTTGAATTATGTTATTTTTACCCTACGTTTAAATTCAATTTTTCCTTTTAATCTATATTTTATATTCTATAAAGATTGAAATCATTTTGATTACTTTTAATTAAATTGAATAATTTCAAACATTCATCAAGTACTAAGTAGGCCTTTAACATTGTGCATTAGATTTTGAGAGATAAAGTAGTCAAGAGATTCAAAAGATTCAAACCCTGCAAAAGTGTACAAAACCCTACTACTGCTACACGTAGATGTGTAACTCTATAATTATTAACTCTAATCACGTGGATTTAACGGTTCTGTCAATATTCCAGAAAGCTGTGACTTTCGATCACAATTTGACCCATTAAACATAGTTTGTAAGCCTTTTTCCTTTTAAACTTTTTGGTCGGCATATGCATTTTGAAGGAAAATGTATTAAATAAACAAATCCGTAAAGTAAAAGATTGTTGAATTAAAGACCAAAATACGTTTGATTTTAAATAGAAGAAATCGAATGCTGCTCACTCTGGTTAGTCCGGGGTGTATTGGCCATACATGTGCACTCTATATTTTATTCTATTGTTTAATCATTGTTTTTGGAGATAGTGAACGTATTTTCAAGTGACCCCCCAATTACAGAGTTTTATGCGTCATGATTCACAACAGTACCTTTTGTGACTAATCCTTAAACTGTGTTAAATAGTAATTTTTGACAATTTCCTTCGTTTTGCGTCATGTCACTTTCATAGAGAAACCAAAATTGAAAAAAGGCAATTGAAAAATAGTAAACTTCATAACCTGTGCTCTGACAAAAGTTTAAGGGTACTCTTGTGAATTGCACATTCCAATATTGGAATTTCGTTAACAGTCTCTTTAAGTAGATATATTTTTCAGATCGTGACTACGGAACACTTCTCTGCTATGCATCTAATATAATTGGACCCCAGACTAAACCCTGTATTTTCAGAATCATTCAACCAGGTATACCCGGATACAGTTAGTATTGCTAACCGTTTTGAAAAATAAAATTTCCAAGATTTACAAATAATGGTATTATGTTAAAGGGAGTGTTTGCGAAAATTAAAGAGGGTATAGGCTTACGGCGAAAAATAAGTGCTTTTGATCGCTACTAATCTCACTCCTATCTGTTCACACTAATCTGGAAAGTTGCAACATTTAACACGGATCGTAAAATAATCAATTTAATTCCAAACAAATATTACCAACAATAGTCAACGATTATTATTAGTTAATCTATATAATAAAACAAGACATTCATATATATATATATATAAAATACATTTCATTTTTCGCGAACACTCCCTTTAAAGTATGATTTTATCAAACTTATATACCTTTATCTATATCAAAAAATAGAAAATCGAACTAACAACTTGTTCGTTCTTGCATCGTTTTTGGATTGTTTTTGGATATACATATATTCTGTCCTTTGTTTATATTTCTAGGTTCTGGTTCTCTAGTTATAGTGTGCTCGACAAAACTAGTTTCTCCTGTTTCCGTTTTAGTAAACTGTCAGGGAATAACAAAATTAATCTTAAAAGAGTTTTTTTTTTAAGTTAAAGTTAAGTTAAGTAAATTCAAAACCTTGGACTGGGCAAGAATGTATAATGCAAGGAAAGTTAATTGCAGTTGTGTATACTCTGCTTACATATTGAAACCAGTTCTCTCTGGGCGGAATTTGTAGACAAGAATAGATGCATCAGTGTTCGTTTAGTATCCGATGAGGTTAAAAGCATTGAATTTTGATAATTTTGATAATGCACATAATAGTTTCCTTTGGCCAGAATATTTCATTGATTATTTATGTGAAAGATGGATCCCATGTCAGGCTTCGATATCCGTCTTGTGTTTACATTACCGCCCAGTACAAAAGATGCGTACACCACTGAAATAACTTTCCTTGCATTAAATCCTTGGGACTGGGGAACATTTTTATCTTTTACAAAATATGCACTGTGAGCTGGGAACTTTTGTGCTAGATACTCATGATCCTGATAGCTTGATCTCGATATTCACAGTGGACACTTTTTAATTTTGCCCAGAATATGCTTGATCTATTGGTTTTTTGTATCCACAAGATCTCTGTTCTGTTAAAGGCAAAATTCCCTGGCTTCTAATTGGCTGCTATTTGTCCACTGACGACACACGGGATATTGGATAAAGATTAAATTATTTTGCAGGATACAAAAGGTCGGAATCAATCATTGATCTCGCTATCCTCGATACAAGAGTTCCTACCTCTAATTTGATTTTCACTTGTTTTACCTGGATATATTTTAACAGTAAAACCGCAATTCAAATTCATCCATTTTCAAATAGAAAAACAAAGATTTACTCATCACGTTTGGCTTGACCAAGGTTTAAAGGGATCAGTTTTGAATTAAGCATGCAACTCTTTAAACGGAGAATCACTTGAAGTTACGCCGACAGTTCCTTTAATGTTTAAAATGCAGTTTTAACACACTCAATATTATGTTGACTGTCTCATTAATATAATTATTGCAACTGTCCAAATGTCTATAATTTTGTAATTGCTTATTGTTATTTACGCTCGGTAGAATACTAAGGAAGACGGATTATATAATCTTCAAGTATCAAGGTAAAATTATAATTAAACCTTTTTTACCAACTTTTTATCACTGTTAAATATGATAATAGGAGACATATATCACAAGGTATTCGTAGACATTCTGTTATTCTTTTCTGTTTGGATACACTCTCATCTTGTACTGAATTTATGCTGGGATGGTGTTAAATCCCCCCCCCCCCACCCCCAGCTTCTGATAATACAATAAGAACCAGCTATAAATGTGGAATACAGATCAAATAAAAAAAACAAAATGTGGAATATAGAAAATAATACAGTATTAAAGCTGTTGATGCTGATGGTTGATGCTGTTTAAAGGGAGTGTTCGCGAAAAATGAAAGAAGTTATAGGAATACTTCGAAAAATATTCGATGGTGATCGCTACTAATCTTACTTATATCTGTTGCGCCTATAGGGAGAAAATTGTTAAAAACGACTCATCCGAAGAACGTAGCGTCCATACAAATTCAGAAAGTTGCAATATTTGACTCAGATCCTAAAAAACTCAATTTAATCCCTAACAAATCATTCAGATATTACAACCTATAATCATCGTTTTTTTCGACGCATTCGTATATAGTTGATATTTTAATTTATTTTTGTTTTGTTTTATATATAATACAAATTAAACGACGATTAGTTGGCCACCAGGTAAAATCGTCGTTGTAAATGCATTGTATATAAAACAAATAAAAAATATTGTGAATTATAGATAAACAAAATTTAAAAAATTAACCTCTAACAGAATTCAATTTTCATTAAATTTTGAAAAAAAAAGCACTTTTTTTTATAAAATCTGCGAACTTGCTTGCTTTTGGTCTACAATGTATATAAAGAGAAAATGTTCAATTAAAATAGAAGATGCGCGTAAAGCGCCATAAAACCCTAGTACAATAAAAATAAGTAAAAAAAAGTTCGTGGATTTCATAATTTTATTCGTGGATTTTCAAAATTTTATGAAAATAAATGATTTTTTTCGGAGACACATTTTTGGAATTCTGAGCATCCATAAACCTTCATTGGGGTCGTGTAAGGTCCCAAAAAGAATGTGGGCCCGATCGGCTCATCCGTTTTGACATTCATTATACAAAACCGACAAACACCCAAACAGATAAGTTTATATGCAGATGTTTTACTTATTTAAGGCTAGGGAACCCAGTACTCCTAGAGAGAAATATTACGAGTTTAAAGGGAAACTTCAAAGTTTTCGGACTTCTACCCGGTAGCAGCTATCAGGCCAGGTACTAGTAATTAATTAGTCCCTTTAAATATACCTTGATTTGTCTCGAATATGAGGCACTACTGCCTAAATCTGTTCTGCGCAGTGTGTCCCATTAAATGTGGGAAATCAATGACGACTTGAACTTCGTCATTGATTTTCGGTAAATGTATTAAAATTAAGAGAACATCAAAAACAGGATGACATAAAGAGGATATAGTAGACATTAATTCCCATGTACATTGGGACACCCTGTATAATACTCAAGAATATATCAATGAGTATCCCCAAACCCTGGGATTTTCAAATTGTGACCATCTTAATTCATTTTAGATTTATAACTGTTTCAAGATTGATACAAAGAATATAATATCACTCTACTAGTATGTTTTTATATTTTTTAATGTAACGTTCAGTTTAACTTAAAACCTTTGCACTTCATTGAGAAAGAAATACTTGGAACGATAATTAGATGAATAAAAATAAAACCCTCAATTAAAAACTCAATTATTTTGAAAATAATGTTGTTAAAAGGTTTTTGTTTTATATAGTTGATCTGCATATATACGATCTAATTTTTAAAATGCAGGAAATATTTTGTAATTATCTTTTTTTAAATGTCGAAAAAGAAAAGCTCTGCAATTTATAGATTAGAAACAAAAAGTTAAGAATCACAATTAAATTTTACTAGAAGCGAATCATTCATTTGGTCTACTGTCCCTTATTGCCTAACAAAGCCTGTATTTGTATAGTACAGCTTGTTTTAGCTGGTTAAAATTTGTCCTGGGCTGAAAACTTTAGAATGGGATATCCTTTATCCCGATAGGTAAATTAATCTGGAGATTAATAACAAGAGGAGAACTATCATTCTTTAATCTGGATATTAAGAAAAAGAGGAGATCAAGCATCAATCTCGATATCCACCATTCTAAAGTTTTCAGCTCTGGCATTTAAAATGAAGCGGAGTTTAGAGTGGATTATCACTGGAAATAAGGTTCCACAATACACGTACAGAGCCTAGTTTACGAGGATTTAAGCACAAATAATCTTTATAAACTGTTCATCAGTATTCACAGGAAAAAAAACTCTTGACTAAAAACATTAAAATGATGAATATTATGCAAATTGTAAAGAATTTAATAATATTTCAAAATACACTTTTTCTACAACATTTTAAAAATTTGCATATCATTCCATCATATTTTCTTATTATCTTCATAAAATGTTGCAAAAATAACAACAAAATTCGAATACACTGTTCAGAATTCACTATAGTTTAATAGGAACAGGAAAAATGTTGAATATTAAGACGACATAAAGGCAAGCTTACGTGTATTTAATGTTATTACAAATCGTCAATTTACAATTGTATGGACTGATTTCTAAAAAAGTCACAAATCATATCATAATATTGATAGATTTTCAGTTTTGAAATCTACAAATCATATTTATCAATTTTAAAACTTTCTATTTACAAAATTTACATTACATACATAATGATGAGTATTTTGTCTGAATGCACTTTTATTATTTTTATTTTAGGGTTGATTATTTGGACGGTAATAATGAAAGATGGACTAGCTTACTAAACTTTACAACGATAGAACTTGACAAGAGTATACCTATTCAGGACTCTTTACAAGAAAGTAAGTTAATAATCACATTATGCATTATTTAACCTATATAGATATATACCTATGGACACTAGTACGAATATACAATTTGTATGAACCACAGTTCAATGTGATACGCCTTTCTTTATATAATTGTAAAAAAATTTATAAATGTGTCTTACCCTATAATATGTATACCCTTGAATTTAGTGTTTAAGTTAGCCCTAAATGTATTATAAAAAATTAGGTTTGCCCTCTGCGTATTACAGGGTTACTCACGAAGGATGAGCATGAAAAGACGACCCAAACTGTATAGTACATAATGCCAAAGTTTGTTCTCAGTATAGTATATAATGTTTAGTTTTGCCCTCTGTATAATAAGTAATGGTTAGGTTTGGCCTCTGTATTGTACAATGTTTAGGTGTGGCCTCTGTATTGTACAATGTTTAGGTTTGCCCTCTGTATTGTACAATGTTTAAGTTTGCCCTCTGTATTGTACAATGTTTAGGTTTGCCCTCTGTATTGTACAATGTTTAGGTTTGGCTTCTGTATTGCACAATGTTTAGGTTTGGCCTCTGTATTGTGCAATGTTTAGGTTTGCCCTCTGTATTGTACAATGTTTAGGTTTGGCCTCTGTATTGTACAATGTTTAGGTTTGGCCTCTGTATTGTACAATGGTTAGGTTTGGCCTCTGTATTGTGCAATGTTTAGGTTTGGCCTCTGTATTGTACAATATTTAGGTTTGGCCTCTGTATTGTACAATGGTTAGGTTTGGCCTCTGTATTGTGCAATGTTTAGGTTTGGCCTCTGTATTGTACAATGTTTAGGTTTGCCATATGTATTGTACAATGTTTAGGTTTGGCCTCTGTATTGTACAATGTTTAGGTTTGCCCTCTGTATTGTTCAATGTTTAGGTTTGCCCTCTGTATTGTACAATGTTTAGGTTTGCCATATGTATTGTACAATGTTTAGGTTTGGCCTCTGTATTGTGACAAAATTTCGCGAATAACACTCAGGACACTAAATACTCCATCGGAGGGACGATAATAAACACTTTAGACAATAATTACTCCATTGCACGTGTCTCCCTTTGTATCACAGACTAGGGCTGGGCACCTTCCGACTTTTTTTTAATCGTTTCGGTCCTTTCAAGAACAAAGGCCTTCAGGTAGATCGTTCTGGCCTTGTTCGTTCTTTTTCCAATCATTCCATCCACGATCCCTTTGGTTCCGTTCTTGGTGTTCTTATTCGAGAACGGTCCATCCCGTTCCGTTCTGTTCTTTGTGTTCTTAGTCAAGAACGGTTTCATCCCAAATGTTAGTAAATTATTTATGTCATTATCTTTTTCTTAATCATGACTCATCAGACACCTCCTTTTAATACTTTATTACATAAATAATGATATCAAATCTATATTTTCACTGAAGGCGGTATTAATTAAAGCTTTTTTAATAAAACTTTTTATTTTAGTAAAGTGAGGTTTTTAAGTATTTTTTTATGTGACGGAATTATACTTAAATGTAATACATGCGTAGTTTCAAGTTTAATTTTTAGAGTGGCATGTCCGATGTACCTTTGCAACCTTCATTTCTCCATCGTTTTTGAACCAATCGAAATATATGAGTCCATTTTGTAGAGAAACACTAATGAAAATAATCAGTTTTCAAAATAGGAAACATGGATATTTAATGCAATACTTGATCAGACAAAGCTTTGAAGGGTATTGTTGTGAATCAGAATTGAAATTATGCGGTCACTTTAAACCTCTCAATTGATTCTATATTAATTAAACTGCTTTGAAGGTTTGTGAACTTTCAAGAAATGAAAAAAGAAATTTACGAAATGGTTATAAAAAAATAATGAAAATCTTTAAAAGTACTGCCTCTCCAAAATAAGGAATCCGAGGTTTTTTTCAACAATCTCCAGATGTTCTATTAAATGTGCCCCCTCAACCTCCCAGGGTGGGACGCACCCAACCCTGCACTTTCCAGATTTTAAATCTGTTGTCGACTAAGAACGTGTTCCTGATAACAAGATTACGTTCCTGATTTTAGCGTTCTTTTCAAGCAATTTCCGTTGTTCCATGTTCGTTCTTTTAATAATCGTTCAAATAGTTTAAAGAATGCTTTCTATGTGCTTGTTCTTTTTTCAGAACCATCGGATCATTCTTGATAATTCTGTTCGTTCTCGTGAAACAATCGTTCCCGAGGAACGACACCCAGCCCTACACAAGACAACGATACTGCACTGCAATTGGTGGGCGTTCTGATCACGTGATACAGAATTTCTAATTATATTATCAATTATTTCTATTAAAAAAATTTAAATTAATAAATTCAAATTATAAAAGAAGCAAACCTGAGTTTTTCCGGCTCCTCGAGAATATCGTCGTTATCAGATAGGTTGGGTATTTGCTGAATATGATCTGTTCTATATAGTATATACAGGGCTATATAGTATATACAGGGCTATATAGTATATATAATATATTTGAAAAGTGTTCGAAAAATTATTATAATATGTGTCACATGTTAATATTTGTCAAAATTAGAAAAAAATGAACATTTTTCCAACGTATTTTTAAAACTTTTTAAAATTTACCCCTGCACACCCAAACCATAATAGTTTGAGTTCTAATTATTTTAATGAGCAGGCTTTGAAAATTTGGACTAGGACATGTATCACACTTCCCTATCTTAACTCAAACGGAAAAATCATATGTGGGTTGGGGGTTTGGAACCCCCCCCCCCCCCTACATTATACAAAAATAGCCCAGGTTGGATATGGGTAAGTATTAAGATTTTAAATATTTAGATTTTTCCTCGATTATCAAAATTTACTGAGTTCAGAGCTGGGACCTTTAGATGGATATCAGGATTAATGCTTAATCCTCTGTTTTTGCTAATCTCAAGATTATGTTAGTCTTGAGATTAAATATTTAGATCAACAAATTAAATTCTAAGAACGCCAGATTTGTTGATTTTCTTGACTGAAAGGGCCCTCTCCCATTTATTTAGTTAAAATTGGTTACACAAGAATCTCAAACGTATTATTAAATATTTTTCTTCATCGATTAATTTACAAAATGGTCGACAACAAATTCTTGATTTGTTAGAAATTGCGGATGTCTCTCATGGGATAGAATTTATTTTCAAGGCTGTCATTGGTCAATACAATTTACGAACTATAATCTTGCACTCTAATTGGAGAAAATAATGTAAGGATATCAAAAGAGAGAGAAGTATAGTGGATTAAGGACTAAAATTAAAAGTTTCCACAGTGGATATTCGGATTAAGAAGTTGGTATTAAAGGTTATCCATTCTAAAGTTCCCAGCTCTGCAGAAATTAAAGCAAATTTATGTGTAAGTATATTTGCTTTTATATATTAAAATATCCAAATAATATATAATTTACATTTCGCAAAACTCATTTAAAATAAATACAGAGTTTGGGGTTTCATGTCAAGTAAAATATATTTTATATTTTCAAACTTTTCAGTTCACGTATTTTATGCTAAATTTTCCTGTATTTTTGTGATTATAACATTCTTCACACAATTTAAATAAGAAACACACTTTACACCCATTTCTATCTCTTTTCTAGTATGAGACGTCTTTAACAATTTTCTCCTTACAGACGCAACAGATAGAAGTAAGATTAGTAGCGATCAAAAGCGCTTTTTTATCGCACTAAGCCTATACTCCCTTTCATTTTCCGCGAACACTCCCTTTAACGCAATAAAGACTGCCTTTCTATTAAAGTTTTGTTTATTAAAAAAGATTTTTCAAATAACAAGTAAACACGAGAAGTTGATATCTGCTTCTTTTGTTTTCATGTTATATTTGTGGATCCATGTTGTTTAAAGCTTGGCAGAAATAAAAAAAATTACAATTGAAAGTCGTCTTCGAGGGGGGGGGGCTGTGGTTTAATACTTCAACAATTAGAGAAGCCATTTTTCAATTTTGTCACTCCTCTTTATTTCACTATAGTCTCAATTGTTAACGTCTATCACAAAATATAATTTGAAAGTAAAAGTTTGTAAAATATCTCTTGAGAAATAAAACTTTATTATTTTCTTAAAGAAAGTTAAAATATAGTTTTTAAAGTAAAATTCCAAAGTTTTCCTTTTTAAAATTGGAAAAATTAAATTGACATTCTTACAGTTGAATTTAATTCTAGAGATGACATTTTCATTTTAGAAAATTGAAAATATTTAATGTTATTTATAAACTGTCAAAAAGAAAGAAAGAAAGAAATGATTTTCAATGCGATCAAAAATGTTATCTGATTCTAAAAATTAGTGAAAATATCTTTAAAATCCACCAAAATAAGAAGAAAAGCAAAAAGGCAAACAAATATTTTCACAGAAACCGTAAATTTTTCAGTGGAAAGATTGGTTTAGTGGTGTTTCTAATTCCACTTGAAGATATTATGCCACTATTTTCAAATAGGTGAACACTCCCTGTAAAGTATTTTCAAATAGGTGAACACTCCCTGTAAAGTATTTTCAAATAAGTGAACACTCCCTGTAAAGTATTTTCAAATATGTGAACACTCCCTGTAAAGTATTTTCAAATAGGTGAACACTCCCTGTAAAGTACTTTCAAATAAGTGAACACTCCCTGTAAAGTATTTTCAAATATGTGAACACTCCCTGTAAAGTATTTTCTTCATGAAATCCATTTAATTATTGATTCCTGTGTGTAGTATTAGTAAGCTTGATTCTACTCATATTTCTCGCTTCTGTTGGAGTCATCTGTAGGATTAGAATTCAGGTAACATTTATACACTGTAATCCAAATTACAAGTGACCCTCCATCCAAAGATTCACAACGGTACCCTTGAAACCTTTATCTGATCAATAACGTGGACGATATTGTCGTTTTTCCAGGTTTAAAGTGGAATTACTTTTCATGTTTTCCTATAACAGAAAACTGAGCAAAACACTTCTGTAGAGAAACCACAATTTGAAATAAAAGCTGTTTTCAAAATAATAAACATGGATCAATCAAACAAAGCTTTGTATGGAAGGTCAGTTAAAATTACGCTGACAAACCCTTTAAAAACATTTACAACAAGTCCTCCGGGATTTCTTGAACCAAAACATAACACATAAAATAGAAAATTTCACTCCCGGGGGGGGGGGGNATGTATCCTCCAAAATGTATCCTCCAAAATGTATCCTCCAAAATGTATCCTCCAAAATGTATCCTCCAAAATGTATCCTCCAAAATGTATCCTCCAAAATGTATCCTCCAAAATGTATCCTCCAAAATGTATCCTCCAAAATGGATCCTCTAAAATGGGCAATCTATGAGAAATTCAAAGTTCGACTATGAGCTCTTATTCAGAATTTATACATCGTAAAAACGTTGTATTGGTATTAATTGAATCCTAAAAGTTGTCTCTATATAATACTGCACTCTCAGTTTAGTCACCACGTCTAGCCGTGCACTCCCTTAAAGGATCAAATGTAGATTTGATAAATACAATTATACAACTCACAAAGTTTAATTTTCAAAGAGAATAGTTTTTGAAAGTTTTATTTTATATTCAAAAACAGGATTGAATTTAAATATCAAAAGAAGGTAATTATAGTTTTGGACTCATCATCTCTGTCATGTGTTCAAAACGTACTTTTAATCTAAATAAACAGGGGAAGGGGCTCCCCCGCCCACCCAACCCCGAGAGCACATGAAATACTATATTGATGTCTTAGACTTTAAAAGTTTTAAAACGAGTGGTTTTGCCGATTAGCAAAAGTAGATATGTAAAGTATTTAAAGAAAATGTTTTGATAAGGCTTTTTTTAGTCCTAAGTCTTTCAAGGATTAAGCAGCAACCTTTGAACTTTAATATTTCATGAATTAAGTAGTCTAAAATCAAAGGTTTACACTATCAGATGATAAAGCTATTTGGGATTAGAAAATTAGAGTTTGTGGCAAGAACTCAGTTCCTTTAATAGGTTTACAAGATAACTTGTTGATAATAGTTTACATAAATATAAAAATTCAAAAAAAATGTATTTATGTGAAAAATTCATTTGTTGACTACATATATTAGTATAAAATGACCTACTCCATAAACTGCTTTCAGACCCGCATAGATCCAGTTACAACTCCAAAACTAAAAATGCCTAACAGAGGCTGAATCTCTTAGGCTTTAATGTCAACACGGACACAAGCTCGCAAACTATCAATGCCAAACACAGGATGGATCTCATAGGCTTCAATGTCAACACGGACACAAGCTCTCAAATTATCAATGCCAAACACAGGCTGGATCTCATAGGCTTCAATGTCAACACGGACACAAGCTCGCAAACTATCAATGCCAAACACAGGCTGAATCTCTTAGGCTTAAATGTCAACATGAACACAAGCTCTCAAACTATCAATGCCAAACACAGGATGGATCTCATAGGCTTCAATGTCAACACGGACACAAGCTCGCAAACTATCAATGCCAAACACAGGCTGGATCTCATAGGCTTCAGTGTCAACACGGACACAAGCTCGCAAACTATCAATGCCAAACACAGGATCTCATAGGCTTCAATGTCAACACGGACACAAGCTCGCAAACTATCAATGCCAAACAATGGGCACGATCTAATAGGCTTTAGTGTCACTTCGGACACAAGTACAAAAACTATCAATGACAAACCAATGGACACGATCTTGTATCTCGCTCATTAAGACGATGAACGAATTACTCTCTCACCGAAATCAAAAAGGAGTATTTTCCACCTAATGTATTTGGGGTTTCTATGATGCAAGTTAAATCTAATAGACGTAATTACGAGTTCTACGTCGTTATATATATATCACATGAGTAAGCTAATCATGTACGTAGTTATTTACAGCACAGTTAAAATAGACGTAATTACAAGTTCTACGTCACTATATACATCCCATAATCAAGCTAACCATGCTATGTAGTTATTTACAGCGCAGTTAAAAATGAATCATGAAATGGGCTACATAGAGGTTTATAAATGCAGTTAATTCATAATGTACAACGTACTTCAGGTTTACAGATATTTTTCTAGTATGTTGGAGATAGTGCTGCTCTGGAGGATACAGTACAACACGCTGTACAGAGAAACAATGATCTACAGCTCAATTTAGATATCAGGTACATGATATAAATAAACTGTGGAATAGGATAATAATCGACTCAAATCATGATTTTTAAAATGTGCAATGAAAACGAACCACAATAATTGTGCAGTGTACAAGATTAAGAACCATTTTACTTAATTAGTTGGTGCCCAAGCTAGATAAAAACTTTATGCTTCATAAAAACATGCAATTCTTATAAGATTGATCTATGTACAGATCTACTCCATATTTTATGAGGTTCACTGTATAAGCAATGATCAACAGATCACTGATCTATGAGTTATGACGGTACAGTACATACTGTACATCTAGATACTGTCACTGATAATGTTTAAAGCCTTAAATGGCGACCACCAATTTGTGAAATATAACAAAAACAGGGCTAAATTTGGTATTTTGCACTAAAATAGTCTGTAAATATACCGAAAGAAACTAGTTTTCAGTAGCAGGGAACCTAAACACCATTATGATAAGTCTGTGAAAATTCTGTACAGTCGTCTCTGAAGTTTCATTCTTTGTGGGTAACCCTGTATATTAATAAACAAATCTGACCAAATTAAACTATTATATTGATATATTCAAAGAATTTTTACCTTCAGTGGTTAAGTAAAGTATTAGAATTTTAGTTTTCAAGTCTTCTAAAAAATCCACGGGCAACGCCGGGCACTTCAGGAAGTAAATTATTTTTTCCAATAATGAAGTATTGGCAATCTTTTCTTAACATTGGTTTACCTTGGTTTATCCTACAGGATAATATTGTCTCATTTACTAGTTTATTTTTTGCTAAAAACTTTTAAAGGACTGTACGTAGACGTTTAGGTTTAAGCTGTTCTTAACTTGTGGAATTAAGCTCTTTATAAGATATAAATACGACAAAGAAGTTGTGAATTGAATATGCCTCTCATTAAATCGAGGGTCCTGGGTCACCTGAATTTATGACTTATAAAAGAAATTTATACTGATACTGCGTCCTCCCTCTAATAATATTTAGTTCTGAACCTGATGCTGAGTCCTCCCTCTAATAATATTTAGTTCTGAACCTGATACTGAGTCCTCCCTCTAACAATATTTAGTTCTGAACCTGATACTGAGTCCTCCCTCTAATAATATTTAGTTATGAACCTGATACAGCGTCTTCCCTTTATTTAATATTTAGTTCTGAACCTGATACTGAGTCCTCCCTCTAATAATATTTAGTTATGAACCTGATACAGCGTCTTCCCTTTATTTATATTTAGTTCTGAACCTGATACTGCGTCCTCCCTCTAATAATATTTAGTTATGAAGCTGATACTGCGTCCTTTCTCTATAAATATTTAGTTCTGAACCTGATACTGCGTCCACCCCCTAATGATATCAAGTTCTGAACCTGATACTGCGTCCTCCCTCTAATAATATTGTATTTAGTTCTGAACTTGATACTGCTTCCTCCCATAATAATATTTTATCTAGTTCTGAACTTGATACTGCGTCCTCCCATAATAATATCTTATCTAGTTCTGAACTTGATACTGCGTCCTCCCCCTAATAACATTTTATTTAGTTCTGAACCTGATACTGCGTCCTCCCTCTTATAACATTGTATTTAGTTCTGAACCTGATACTGCGTCCTCCCTCTAATAACATTGTATTTAGTTCTGAACCTGATACTGCGTCCTCCCTCTAATAATATTGTATTTAGTTCTGAACCTGATACTGCGTTCTCCCTCTAATAATATTGTATTTAGTTCTGAACCTGATACTGCGTCCTCCCTCTAATAACATTGTATTTAGTTCTGAACCTGATACTGCATCCTCTCCCCGTCTCTCTTCACATGGAGGAATCAACTCTAGTCCAGACAATGACAGAAAAAATACACCAGGTGAAGATAAAATTATTTGTGCGTCCACAATTTGCTGTTTCGATTTGAGTCCTTTATGTGCCATCTTCAATGCCTCCTCGATGTGCCGTCCAATGGACCGTCCTCAACATGTGTCCTCAATATGCGTCTTCGATGTGCGTATTCAATGTGCACGTCCTCACGGTGCGTCCTCAATGTGCGTATTTAATGTGCGTCTTCAATGTGCGTCCTCATGGTGCGTCATCAATAATTTTCCTCAAGGTGGGTCATCAATGTGTGTACTCAATATGTATCCTCAGTGTGTGTCCTCTAAGTGTCCGCAATGTGTTTCCTCAATGTTCGTACTCAGTGTGCGTCCTAAATGTTCGTATTAACTGTGTGTCCTTAATGTGCGTCCTAAATGTTCGCCCACAATATGCTTCCTCAATGCGCCTCCTCAACAGACCGTCCTCAATTTTTGTCCTCACTGTGCGTCCTGTATGTGCGTCCTCAATAGTTCGTAACTAATAGTGCGTCCTCGATGTATGTTTGAATAAAGTGTATATGTGTATATTGATATATTTTTGTATAATGTTTATCTATATTATTAGATTTCTAGTTTATATATATATTTATATAATCTCTAAATTAGGTTAATTTCCATTGATAGGAAATAATAAGGTCTGGATTGAGGGAACTTAAGAGTATTTGCTTGTTTATATTGCAGCCTCTCTTAGTCTCATTGTAAACAATAACAATTTTCCCAGGGGTTTTAGAATAAAAGATAATTAATAATTTACACTTAAGAATTCATGATGCTTTGTTTCATGCATGCATTATTTCCATAACAAATTCGGGTCGTATATAAAGTAATACAAAAACCAACACACAAATGTTTGAATTCTTAAAATGAGATTTAAAATATGAAGGTTAAACCCTTTCGTAGTATCTACATCAAAATAAAAACTTCAAAGACCTCTCGAGATCAAAGAAATTTTAAACATTAAATTTTAAAAGTATATTTTTGTCTAAAATGTCAACCAGCAATATCAAAATTAATATACAGAGCGTCCCATATCATATTAGATTATCTCCAAGTTTTAACGCCAAAATAAACCCATCATACTCGAAAACCCTAGCATTTACCCCAAGAAAATTCTTTTATTGCCTTATTCAATTTTTCAAAACAATTTATTCTTCCTAAATTTTCTAATTAGTCCCGAAAATCGTAATTTAGACCGATTGACGATCTAAAGTGATGTGGGACACCCATGTAGTATCACAGCTAAATATTTCTATGCTTATAAAAATTCCAACGATCTCTAAAATCTATGACTAAAAGGTTTGAAAGGCGCACACGCACTGTGCCAAATGTTCCCAATGGAAGTATGTTGCAGATGCGGCAGGATACGCATTTCTTCTCTTGATTAGCTATAACGCATCATTCTGTAAATATGAAACCGCAAGTTTTTGAAAATTAACAGAACACTTAGTTGACGAACAATTTTGATATCGTTAACAAACGGAAATAAAGATGATGGTTTATAAAAAAGAACAAACGAATGTGTTTAAAAAAACAGCAAATCGTATGAAACAAAACGTTTAGTTCTTAGCCTGAGAACAAATGGCTACATCAAAAGTTGTTTTTGAATTATTTTAACTTTTAACTAACTGTTAACAAACGGTTTGAAAAAAGTCTGAACGTGCGCAGTCCTACTCTTCATCAGCTGTATTTGCAACATTGTGAATTTACCAGCGGCTACATTTGTCGCATAAAACGTGCTGGGTAAATTCTACACTTGTTAGTTCAGACTGGAGAGTACGACTGAATGCATATACAGTACATGTTGTACTGGCTCGGATCATACCAGCTTTAGGGAGCCAACAAGAGAACAAAGTGACTGGATTACCCAACTGTTCTCGATTGAACTTATTCCTTAACTTCTTTGTAATTCTAATAAATAAAACTGTGGATCGAGTGGAGTGAAAAGGCGACATCTAATCAATATTCTATGGATTTCCTGTTGAAAAAAATCAATCAGTATATGGGTCTGTGTACACCTACACTGAACTGTGTTGCATGTTCAATGAACTATTTAAATTCATAAGTTGATTCTAAAAGGAAGTGTTCGCGAAAATGAGAGGGAATAGGGTGATATTGCATTCGAAATATTGATCGTTACTAATTTTTCTTTTATATGTGTGTTTAAAAGGAGAAAATGGTTAGAAACGTCTTAAACCTCAGAGCTTTATAGAGTCTATTCAAATTCAAAGAATTGCGTTATTCCACTCAGATTGTAAATAGTACAATTGAATTTATAATTAATTATTCAGATATTACAACCTACAATCATCGAATTTAATTCGATGCACTCGTGAACAGTTTATATTTCAAAATAATTTTTATTTGTTTTTAAAATGATTTACTTTAAACGACCTTATTTGGCAGCTAGGTGTGTCTGCTCTCAATATTTCATGATTTCACTGAATGAAAATATATTGTTTTGTTTTAGGAGAGCTAAGAGAGATGGGATATTCTGAATCCATCTTCTATTCTACAGCCAGGAACAATAATTAAATATTTCACATTAATCAAAACCATTCTTAGAGTTTCCCCTCTCATCCTATATCATTCATTTAAAACAAATCAAATAAATTAATCTTTAAATTCAGATTTCAGACTTTTATTTTTTATTTTTCATGAGATTTTAATGTTTTCATTATCAAGGTCTAAAAAAAGTATCAAATAGAGATATTTTGGCCAAACCTTTCGAGAAATTTAACTTAAATAAAAACGTTATATTTGCTCCCACTGAGAAACACTTTCTCTGTCTTCAAAATAATCGTTCTAATGCACGAGGTGGTTTTTATAAAAATTATAATTTCCTTTAATTCTACAAAATACTGGCGGCCTGTAAAGCAAAAAGGGTAAATTTTTCGCCAAATTTCGCGAAAAAATGCAAAATTTTGGCATTTAAAAAAATGCGAGCATTTTGGGGGGGGGGGTGAGTGCGAAAATTTTGCGAAAAAAACTGAAGATAAGTTATTAACTATAATATAATACAGATTTTTTACGCCATTAATTGTTGCAGCTTCAGCACTTTCGCATAGTTTTAAAATTTTTTTGCTTAATTTATTTTCACAAAAAAATGCAAATTTCGTGAAAATGTTTGCGAAAAACAGTGGAAATGTTCCCATTTTTTTGGCCAAGTTTTTGTTTTCTGGAATCCATTCTTTAAATTAACCCTTTAATGATAAAACTAAATCAAATAAACAAATTTAACAACTTTTTTTGCGAACATGCTTTTATTTGACTTTATAATAAAGTCCCAGAAGATTTCAGCCTTTTTTACAATACTTTTATAGAAAGAAAGAAATTTTCTAATTATTTAAAGTTGAGTCTTTTCAAAATTGAAATCAGATCAGATCAGTTCTTTAGATAAACTTCAATTGAAAATTTTTAATTTGAAAATATTATTTTTAATTTCTTCAGAAATTAGATGTTCATCTATTTTACCATTAATAGATAAATTGAATTGAGACCTTAAAGAATATTCTATTTATCCTAAATATAATTTTATAAAAGAGTTCGGACATGAAAAGAAATAATTTTTTTAATCTTTGTTAGTTAGAAAAATATATCTGAAACATTCTGAGGAACACATTTGGTTTCACTGTTTTCACTGTTTACCTCTAAGCTGAACTAGATTTTAAACCCGGAGGTTTATGAGATTTTTGGAATTCTAGATTTTTTAAATTAACTTTCATGCAAACTTTTATAATCCCTGAGACCAAAATTAATGAATTTGAGCCGCGGCTTAAATTTGAGATGGGGCTTACTGAAAATTGTATTCAATGTTTCAAGATTTAAGCAGGCCCGCCGCTCAATTGAAACCGGTTTTTGGCGAATTTGTGAAGCTGCTCAAATTCATTAAATTCGTTCTTGCAGTATGTCTAGGGCCCTTTTTGAGAACATTTTTTTTATTGGTTATGCAATTAGACCAAAAACTCAAGAGTGTTAAAAATGTAACTATTATCATCATTATATGATACCTAACTTTGGATCCCAGCCTAGTCAAGACCTATTAAAAGTCAACCCACTCACTTTAGTAGTTTGAATCCCGGCTAAGAACGCTCTACTTCAAACTAAAATTTTAGGCAAATTGGTCCAGAGGTTCCTGAGTTATGATCAAACATCAAAACTAACCATTAGAGATTACTACTGTACTTGAATATATACATATGTTACTGGAAAATTATAATAATTATAATAAAATCATAATAAGTAAACCTAGCTATATAACTAAATTATAATAATTATAATAAAATCATAATAAGTAAACCTAGCTATATACCTAAATAAACTGTGGTGTTAAGAAGTAAATGTAGAAAGAAATTTTAAAATGTTTGATTTTCAAACCATGACTTTGCATTTATTCAAACCTGTTATATCTTCTTTGTTGCTTTTTACAACCTGGCACTTTTAATTCTGCAAAGTAATGGAATTTATGCTTCAATAAAACTGTATATGATGATGTAAATGTTAAATGAAAAATCTAATTCCAAACATAGCATGGATGAAGCAACCCTTTCTATTTTCAACCTCTTTTACCTTTTAAATGTAGAATTTTGTGTTTTTAATTTTATTTTTTCTTGTTGTCATTTTTAATATACAGCATAGACAGCCCCCTTTAAACCTTAATAATGTTCTTTAACAAATTTCCTCTCTAAAAATAGTTAAAGACTAGACTTTATCTTGCAAATATTTGTATTTGTTGAATGATATTTCAACTCGGAATAACAATATATTTATTCTATTCAAACATTTCTGATCTAGAGTTCTCAAAGAACCCAATATTGGGGTTTTATTGATATTTGATGAATTGTTGATATAGACCCCATCAGACAGAATCTAGAATACCAAGCAGTTCAAACCTGACTAGGTCATACAGTTCAACAAATCTAAACTCATGCTTGCAGGTTATATCATTTGTCAAGGGGGTTTTTAATTTGCTAAAAATCATTAATTTAAAAAAAAATTTTACCAGTATATCAGGAATACATTTTTCAATCTTATTATTTAAATTTTGAAACAAACTTTTGTTGTTGAAAGTGAAAAAGATGTCAGAAAATTTAAGGAAAAAGAGTAAAGATGCTTTTGACTAAATTAAACGTTTGTCTCCGTGTACAATTAAATTTGTTAGTAATAATATATATTTTTTTTCTATATTCTTTATAGATTGCCACACCTCCTTACACCTGCAGAACACTTCCCCGTGGCGGTGGGCGGGGTAGCCTAGAGAACTTATTACAGATAAATCCTGAGAATATGTATCTACAACGTATAAACTCATCTTATCCATATCCACCCAACCTTCAGCCAACGCTTCAACCCACCCCATATCATCAGATGCTCCCAGGATCTTTTCATATTACCACTTTCAATAAATTGATCACTTTCTCAGTTTCATTTTGCCCCCAAATTTGCAATAATGTATACATTGATTGCTAACACTTGGTAGTAATAGATGGAAAATGAACAATCATTTTGAGAAAGAAAAAAAATCAAGTTTTTGAATGATCAAAAAAATTGGTCAATCACAAACGATGAACAAACAAAATAAAAAACTAACACGCCCATCTGTAATTGTTTGATCACACTGCTCCTGTTGGAACTTGTGTTTTGTCTGACTGTGGTCTGTGATGGTACAGGGTGTCCCACGAAACACGACAGTAGCAAGACAATATGAAGATCGTCTTTGAACTTGATATAAGTTATGGCATTTGTTTGTAAACCAAATTTTAGAAGTAATATTCGGGCATTTCTAAAATGTGGTCTGCCATTTTTTGTACTCCAAATTTCTACCGGAGATATGATTAATTTTGTTCAGATTTCGACAATTTTGGTTTTATTAAAAACGTTAAAATCAGAACGAAATTCTTTTGTAATATTGACAGTGCAAAAAAGACCACATTTTGGAAATCCCAATCCTGTAGATCGTTTCAAGAATCATTCATGCATGTGAAAGAAGGTTGACGACTGAATGTCTCAAATAAATCCAAAGATCAAAGACTACTTTAAAATTGTCTTGCTACCATCATGTTTCGTTGGACACCCTGTATAAAACAATGTACTTAAATAATTACTTTCAATCCCCAACTTCAATTTTTAGGTCTAATTTTTTTAAGACCCTTTTGCAATTGATCTGCATTTTCGATGCATTTTGCATAGAACCTGAACATGTGACATAAAAGTTTAATTTTATTTTAGTTTGAATTTTCTTCTTTTGATAAGAGATATGACAAGTTGTTGTAAAGATTCCTTTTTGGCTGGTGGAAATCAACTGAGAAATCCTTCACCAGGTGGCGGGGAGATCCGGACCTGGGGAGAACCAGTTCTACCGGAGAACTACAGTGCATTTCAATACTTTCAAAAGGAAACATATCTACACTAAAACTGAATTGAATATTTACAGATCATTACAGAAGAGAGAGAGAGGGAAAGGGGGGTTGAAATTTTATCTAAATCAAAGCAGCATTGCTGATAAACTTTAAAGCAAAATTATTAAAGGGACTGCAAAGGAAAAATGAAAGGGGGTATAGGCAGAGACCTGAGCATTCCAGGAGTTAATCAAGACATATAAGAGCTCTATGTGATGCTCCTGTATTGAGAAATTGAAATAAAACTGTCTAAACAGAGCTGAAAACTTTAGAATGGGATATCCTTAATCCCGATTACTTAATCTGAGTATCCAATGGACACATTTTTGATTTCCTTCTTAAACCGTCCTTTCTTGGATATGGAAGAGAAAAATCAAAAACCGGTTTTTCTAAATTAGAGAGTTCCTCCCATTTCTGTATATAATCTTAAATGGCGCGCAAAATTTCAAATTTATCGACTCTGATTGGTTGAATTTTATACACTTTTCAGGATACAAGTACAAGATTAGATTAGTCTCAATATTATGAAAAAGAGAGGATCACGCATTTCTCTCGATATCCACCATTCTAAAGTTTTCAGCTCAGATCACATTCAGCAAATACGCAACCAATCTAAAATCGACGATATCCTAGAGGAACATAAAAAATTCAGGTTTGCTCCTTTTATTATTTGAATGTAATAATTTTTAATAGGTATAATTGGCTGTATAATTGATATGTCTGTATCATATCATGTGGCCAAAACTCCCACAGTGCAATAACAGATCTTAAATATTTAAGTTTTTGTATAATTTTGACAAAGTTTTTTGTCAATATCTTAAGATAGGAACATCATATAGAACTCTTATAGGTCTTGATCAACTCCTGAAGTGCTCAGATTTCAGCCTTTATCCCCTTTCATTTTTCCTTTCCTTGGATAGTGATTTGCTTTATTTTCTCGTCATCGTTTTTATCTTTTTTCTTTTTTCTTTTACTTCTGAGCTTGCACAGTTGATCATACTGGTTTAAGCTCAGACAGGTGGGTTTTCAGGGGGACCAGGTGGAAAAAAGGTTTCAGCAATTGTTGCTTTGAGTTCTTACATTCTGTATTTTGAGTTTTCTGTCCAAATCCTAGTTTCACCTAATGGTATTAAAGATGGATCCAACAACATTCGTCCACTTTATACTCTTTCCTAGTTCTGCGGCTTTTTAGGATTACCATTGAAGTTGCACCCCTATACAAAATGGGGAGTTGTTGGCTTTGTGGCTCCAGGAGGATGTGGCATTTTAGACAGTTGTCCAGTCTTCAAAGTCAGCCGAGTATCCAAGCTGGCAGAGTAAAAAATCGGCATCATATTGCATGGTTACTAAACTCTAAGGATTCTTCTTTCAATGTTTCTATTTTTCTTGTTTCTAGTGAGATTTTCTTTGTTTGTTCTAAGGTGTGGTGCCGCCAAGTTAATCTTGCACAGCGTTCCCTTCTAACTCTTCTCTCTGGCTACTTAGAGCGGAGCACTAAATTTCTATGACCTAACCATGCTGATGCCGGCTCTACTGGCCTGCAACTTTACAGTCCCTTTAAGTTATAAACAGGGAATAGGAATAAAGGGAAAGGAAATGGCGCTGGTCTGGCATGAGAAAGCCAGTCGCACTGCTTTGCAGACAAGTTCGGTAAACCTTACACACACTCTTTTGGTGCAGACACACAACATGATTACAGTCAAGGAAATTGCAGAACAATGTTGTCAATTATAAGTAAGCTTGAATAACGACTAGTTTATTGTAAACTTTGAAAAAAAATATTCTTTGCATGAAAATTTGACTTGTAGTGTTGACTTAAATATATAAATAATATACTTCATGTATATTAAACTTATTTTTAAGTAAACAATTAACAATAAACAAATGTACTCTCATAGACTGTACAAATACCGAGATTCATATGTACTGTATATTCCTACAGTACACACCTTCGGTTTGGTAAACTTTACACACACTCTTTTGGTACAGACACACACACACATGACGTTTCCGCCCCCCCTGGTTATTAATTAAATGTATAGATTACATGAAAGTAACTCTGTTTTACCAAATTAAAATTGTTTTACGTTTTACTAAACTCTGTTATCCGATTAACTTGAGGTTATCTACCAGACTGAAAACAATCCTACAGAAAGCTTAATCTAATCTTTCCGCAGTATAAAAGAACCAACTATACTTTCTATCGTATCATTAGACATTTTTTTGCATTCATTTTTTCATAAAAATGTTAAGCAACATTAAACAAAAATAAATTTTATTACAAATTCATTGTAATAATCAGATACATCATCAAACTAACATAAGAACTAGAGTTCATGGGGAAGTATTTGACGGGTGAAAATAAGTTAGACATTTAATTTTTTCATGTAATTTTATCTTAACAATATTTAGATTTATAGCATAATCTTAAAGGCACCAAAAAAAGATAATGTTAGGATTTTTATTTTTGTTACGTTTTTAGCTGAAAAGGACATGTAAGAATTTAAACATTACTTGGCATTAAATATAGAACAATATTTCGGTTTCAGGTTGGATTATATTCTATATAATAAAACAAACATGCATATATATGTTGCGTATAGCCGGCCAAACGGCTGGACTGATTGGGCTGAAATTTTTTGTAGACACTTGTGGTAGGCCAGGGGGTATAAGATATTTGGGTGATATATGGATGGTATGCTGGTAATATCTGGATGATATGTGGGTGATATCTAGATAATATCACCCACATTTCATCCATCGATCATCCAGATGATATCTAGATTATATCACCCACATACATCCTGATGATTATATCATCCAGATATCACCAATCCAATCCAGTATTCTTGAAAAAGTAGATGATGTTTTTTATAGGACCCTTTAAATAACTATGCGGGACAAAGACGAGCTGCCTTAACCCTGAATCCTTTAAACTTCCAGCTTAGATCAGATCTCTCCCTTCCCCCTCCAATCCTTCAGTATCCTACTAGCAGCATACCAATCACCAATCCAGAAGAGTATATTCCTTGCAGCTGTTCATATACGGGTAATATTTGGATTGAACAAGAGGCATTTCATTCTATGGATATTCAGAACCCTTATACTTCATACAACACAGAAAGTGATACACAACCTGCCTTTAGTGATACACATGCTGCAGGAGATACCATCAACCAAGCTCATTCTGTATATAACACGCATAGCAAAGAACCATCAGAAGAAGATGATGACGATGAAATGCCAAGAAAGCATTCTTCTAGGTCTGTTAAATTCTCAGATCTTGATACTGTAACTGAAGAATAATTATTAGTTTTTAACTTTATAATTCTTATTTGAGATATCCCTGTGTTTTCTTGACAAGTTCAATATTTTGGTTTAATTAAAGAGAGATTAAAATCTCTCTTTCTTTTGTTAAACATTTCTGAAAAGAAATCTTATATTTAAATATATGTATTGTAATAGAATATTTTAACTTTGTGAGTTTTATCGTGAAAAATGTGGATGATAAAAATAAATGAATTTATCATTTATGATATATAACTGATCATATAATTTTTTAAAAATTGTCATCCTTAAATAGATGTCTTTTTCTTTCAAAATCTCAAAATTTTAGATGAACAAAAAATCTTATTTCTCATTTTTTTTGCAATAATTATTGTTAAAGATATAGTTTATGGTACAACAAGTTTTGAAGGAGAATTTTTTTTTTTTTTTTGGGGGGGGGGGGGTTTGGGGTTAGAATTCTTGAATTTTCTCCCCCCCCCCCGAAGCGTTTTAAAAGTCTCCACAAACACCTGCAAGTTTCTTTCTTTACTTTCAACTTGATTGGACAACTCCTATAATTAAGTTTCCTTTCACACTGGCAGAGAGAAAAGTGACACAATTAATAAAAACTGAATTAACCAAAAGTATTCTTAGGTTTAACCCTATTCCTGCTGGGGGGGGGTCAATTTGCCCCCCCCCTGTAGTTTTTTTTACATAACTCAAAAAGTATTGGTCTGAGGCTGTTGAAATTTTCTGACTTTTCCTACATACCAAAAGCCCTCCCTTCAGGCCTAAAACCGGGCTTTAATACTAACTGCCTGAGTCCTCAGGCACACTGCCTGAATGACTGCTTTTTCCTGTAACAAACTAAATCTTTGTTTTGACCCACTTCCACTTTTCAGATTTTGATAAAATTTAGCTTTTTGGAAAGCCTTTGACATAAGTGAACGAATTGCACAAGTTTTGCGAAAAAAATTGCACATTTTTTTCAAACAACCTGTCAAAGGAAATTTGCACATTTTTAGTTTTTCTTGATTAGAAATAAGGTTATTTAAAATTTTGCAAAAATTTTTGCATATTTGAAATGGCATGGTCAAGGGCTTTTCAAAAAAGTATAATTTATCATTTTTTGGACAAATTTTTTTTGGCAAACATTTTTACTATATAACTGGATTTTGCAATAAAAAATTCAATTTTTGCAAATTTTTTTGCAGATTCTAAAAGTAGAGCACAAAAGCTTTCCAATAATGTATCATTTGTCATATTTGGACATCAAACATGGGATTTAGAGGGGGGGGTCAAATTGACCTCCCCCCAGCATATCCTGGTTTTCAAGTACCCCAGCAGAGATAGGGTTAAATGAAACATTTTTATTTTTCTCCTCCAAATCATGAACCTAAACTTGGCTATTACAACAAGTGTCCAATTATTTTCAATACTTTTAAGATTTTTTGCAAGTTTTCATGCAGATGATAAAATTACGGCTTTAGAGCAATCGGCAACATCCCCAACCCTCTTAAAGCTTAACCCTAAACAAGCTGGAGGAGGGCGTTTGGCCCCCAATGTAGTTTTTTTTTGTCATAGCACTCTTACTACAGATCTAAAAACTATAGTTTTGAAAAATGCTTGTAGAAACATGTGTCACACTTTGATATTTGTTTAAAGCAAAACAATATTTATTTTTATTTCTTTACCCTTTTTTAGGTTTTTTAAAACCTCCCCAGCACCCAAAGTATTAAAGTTATCGGTCTAATTTTTTTCCTTTTTTTCTTTGAGCTGGCCATGAAAAATTGGGCTATGAACATTTATTTCCACCCTATAGCTATTCTCAAATGCCTTTTTCTAGGGGTTGGGGCGCCAAACGCCCCCCAGGCTATACATAGATTCACACCCCCTAGCCTTTATAGGGTTAAGTGTCTTACAGAGATAAGGTTATCATGAAACCCTTAACCTTAAAGTTAAAATTAGTTTAAAGCCACTTTAATTGATAATTTAGATTTAAGACTTTGCATCAACAGTAAATAAGGATTCTTAATAATAATTCAATAAGATTTAATTAGAGTTTTAAACCTTCTTCTAAATCAATTTGCGTTTAATTATCAATATAAAACAGAGGGATGGGATTGCTTCACCATTAGTTAGAGCTCATACAAACTCATTAATGATTCACAACATATCCTTTCATTTTCTATCTAATGGTATATATTAAGACTAGACTTTTCAGACGCTTCGCAACCCCTTACCTAAATACAATTTTAACTTTTAACCAAAAATAGACTCGGAGGGGGGGGGCGTTTGGCGCCCCCCCTGTAGTTTTTTTGTCCTAGCACTCTCATTTTTAATACTATTACTGTGATATTTTGTGACTTATAATAAGTAGTATTTTAATAGGGCAGAAATAAAGTCTGGTCAGTGAAAAAAAAACATCTAAAATATCCCATAACTGTTTTGTGACGAAAGCTACAGATCTAAAAACTAAATTTCTAAGAAACCCTTGAAAAAATGCATGTAGAAATATGTGTCACACTTGTTTGACCCTTTTTAGGCATTTTTTTCAACCCTCCGTAGCACCCAAACTATTAATGTTATCAGCTTGATGAATCAATTTTTTAGAAAAACTGATATCTTGATGACTTAAATATTTAGAAAACTGATAGCTTGATGACTTAAATATTTAGAAAACTGATAGCTTGATGACTAAAATGTTTTAAAAAACTGATAGCTTGATGACTAAAATGTTTAGAAAAACTGATAGCTTGATGACTTAAATATATAGAAAAACAGATAGCTTGATGACTAAAATGTTTTAAAATTTTAGAAAAACTGATAGCTTGATGACTAGAATTTTTACTAAAAAGAGGCGCAAGTATTAGAATCATTTTGTTTTATATATTTTTAAAAAGATAAAGTGATGTTTTAATTTTTTCAAATATACAATGATGGTTTCCTTAAATTTTCTTTGGTATTCATCAAATAATAAGATTATAAAAAACCCAATTTCGGGTGCTAGTATTTCATTAATGTCCTCAAAATGACATATCAGAGTAATAAAAACAAGAAAATGAGGCTCCTCATACAAACTTATAATAATAAATTCATTGTAATATCGTTCTAAGAACAGACAAAGAACGCTAAACTAGATTTTAATCTAATATGTTTGCAAAAATTATCATTGTAGAGCTAGTGTGAAGAATAACATCATTTTATTTTCTAGTATGTTACTGGAGAATATGCTTTACTTATTCTTGTTTGTAAAATCCAAACTGGAGAAGAATAACATCATTTTATTTTCTAGTATGTTACTGGAGAATATGCTTTACTTATTCTTGTTTGTAAAATCCAAACTGGAGGAGCTCACTTTAGTTTCAGTAACCATTTCCATTTACTGTTAAAGCGCCGATATAAGGATTCATCTCTAATTGGATAATAAGATAGATAGAATGATAGATGTTTCCGCCATGCTATTTCTGTTGGTTCAGAATAGACACCAAACACATGAATGAACCCTGATTGGATCAGGCGCTAATGGACCGGCATACTAGAATGAGCTACGAGGTCAAAAAGCCGTACTTGTAATATTGCATAAATATGGCCTTCTACTTCAGTCTAGTTCAAAGTCACAAACTGCTTTATACGATGATTATCATGTTGTTTTTAATTGCTTCTCTAAAGTGCCATTTGTTACCTCTAAATTAGAACCTGTTTCTAAAGTTTTAAGCACAAATGTTGTCTGTACAGTGTTGATATTGTTATCTTTTTCTAAGAATCCAAATCTAGACTTTATGAACTAACTTTGAAAAAAAAGTTCGGTAATTAGTTTGCCTATCAAAAGGAATGGAACTGAGTTCTGGCCACAAACTATTGTGCTTTAATCGCTATATTTTTTCAACCCGATGTTGTAGACCTTAGATATGTTAAGTGTGAATTCGGTAAGATCAAATAGTCTATGTTTGAAATATCAAAGGTTAACTTTCTATAATTGTGAAGATAGAGGGATTAGAAACTCTAAGTTTGTGGTAAGAACTCAGTTACTTTGCAATTTTGAAGGATTTCACAGAAAAGAAGTCTATGTCACAAACTTCATTTTTCTAATCAATATATTTTTGCTATCTAATGGTGTAAACCTTTCATATTTCAAAGTTAGAGTATTTGATCTGAGAGAATTCACAATTTGAATTTTCTAAGGTCTACGCTATCGGGTTACAAAGATATAGGTAGAGAAAATTATTTTAAATACATCTTATATTGCAATATTACTACTTTACATCCATAACATTCGTTTCAATCTTAGAAACATTTTTATACGAAATGAAATGCAAAAATGCGAAAGTTTTAGCAAACAGAAAAATGCGCGCCCTAAAATTTCGTAAATTAAGTGGAAAATATACCTCCATTGCATCAGATTATTGTTCTTGGTCCCCTTGACACATGTTTCTAGATGCATGCAAGGGATTTTCAGAATTATTGTTTTTAGATCTGTAGCTAAAAAATGTATGGGGAATTTTAAAATTTTTTTTCCACAGACCGGACTTTTTTTCGCCCTGTACCCTACACTATAAATCTAAAAAAAAAAATTTTAACAAAAATCCTTTAAATTACTATTCAAAAAAAGTTACAAAATTTCACGGTAATAGTGTCAAAAATGAGAGTGCTAAGACAAAAAAAACTACAGGGGGGGGTTGGCGCCAAAAACAGTTCGTGCTATAAATCAGCTTTTCTAGCTAGCTCATACAGTTTTCATTTAAAAGCGCTGTTCGGATTTGAATTCTGCTTAAAATTTCTAAGAAAAATTATGTGTAAAATGAGATTTTTAAAAATATTTTCTTGAGATCCTTGATGCATAAGAAATCGATCTATAACTCTTTTATCTAAAGGTGATCTAATCTAAAAGAATTTGACCCACCTGGATCAAATTCCTTTTTTTCCGAAAAATTGTTGAATTTAATTTAAAACTTAAATTTCAAATAAAACACCCTACTCATCTCTAACCTGAACCATACTCAATACTAATCCCTAACCTTAACCCTACTCATCTCTGACCTGAACCCTACTCATCTCTAACCTGAAACCTACTCATCTCTAACCTGAACCCTACTCATCTCTAACCTGAACCCTACTCATCTCTAACCTGAACCCTACTCATCTCTAACCTGAACCCTACTCATCTCTAACCT